CCTTGAAGCCATGGTCATTTTTGAAAGGGAAACATTTGTTTGCCCTGTTACTACCTGAAAATGGAGCACTAGTACTCAATTGTGCGTTGTGAAGGCAGGGGACGATAGTGTTCCACTGTGCTATGGGAAGGCAGGGGATGATAGTATTCCACTGTGCTATGTGAGGGCAGGGGACGATAGTGTTCCACTGTGCTATGTGAAGGCAGGGGACGATAGTATTCCACTGTGCTATGTGAGGGCAGGGGACGATAGTGTTCCACTGTGCTATGTGAAGGCAGGGGACGATAGTGTTCCACTGTGCTATGTGAGGGCAGGGGACGACAGTGTTCCACCTTGCTATGGGAAGGCAGGGGATGATAGTATTCCACTGTACTATGTGAGGGCAGGGGACGATAGTGTTCCACTGTGCTATGTGAGGGCAGGGGACGACAGTGTTCCACTGTGCTATGGGAAGGCAGGGGATGATAGTATTCCACTGTGCTATGTGAGGGCAGGGGACGATAGTGTTCCACTGTGCTATGTGAAGGCAGGGGACGATAGTGTTCCACTGTGCTATGTGAGGGCAGGGGACGATAGTGTTCCACTGTGCTATATGAGGGCATGAAGTGATAGTGTTCCACTGTGCTATGTGAGGGCATGGAGTAATAGTGTTCCACTGTGCTATGTGGGGGCATGGAGTGATAGTGTTCCACTGTGCTATGTGGGGGCATGAGATAGTGTTTCACTGTGCTATGTGGGGGCATAGAGTGATAATGTTCCACTGTGCTATGTGAGGGCATGGTGATAGTGTTCCACTGTGCTATGTGAGGGCATGAAGTGATAGTGTTCCACTGTGCTATGTGAAGGCATAGAGTGATAGGGTTCCACTGTGCTATATGAAGGCATAGAGTGATAATGTTCTACCGTGCTATGTGAGGGCATGAAGTGATAGTGTTCCACTGTGCTATGTGAAAGCATGGAGGGATAGTGTTCCATTGTGCTATGTGGGGCATGAGGCGATAGTGTTCCACTGTGCTATGTGGGGCATGAGGCGATAGTGTTCCACTGTGCTATGTGGGGCATGAGACGATAGTGTTCCACTGTGCTATGTGGGGCATGAGGCGATAGTGTTCCACTGTGCTATGTTGGGAGCATGAGACGATAGTGTTCCACTGTGCTATGTTGGGAGCATGAGACGATAGTGTTCCACTGTGCTATGTTGGGAGCATGAGACGATAGTGTTCCACTGTGCTATGTTGGGAGCATGAGACGATAGTGTTCCACTGTGCTATGTTGGGAGCATGAGACGATAGTGTTCCACTGTGCTATGTGGGGCATGAGGCAATAGTGTTCCACTGTGCTATGTTGGGAGCATGAGGCGATAGTGTTCCACTGTGCTATGTTGGGAGCATGAGGCGATAGTGTTCCACTGTGCTATGTGGGGCATGATACGATAGTGTTCTACTGTGCCATGTGGGGCATGAGACGATAGTGTTCCACTGTGCCATGTGGGGCATGAGACGATAGTGTTCCACTGTGCTATGTGGGGATTGAGACGATAGTGTTCCACTGTGCCATGTGGGGCATGAGGCGATAGTGTTCCTCTGTGCTATGTTGGGAGCATGAGACGATAGTGTTCCACTGTGCTATGTTGGGAGCATGAGGCGATAGTGTTCCACTGTGCTATGTGGGGCATGAGACGATAGTGTTCCACTGTGCTATGTAGGACATGAAACGATAGTGTTCCACTGTGCTATGTGGGGCATGAGACGATAGTGTTCCACTGTGCTATGTGGGGCATGAGACGATAGTGTTCCACTGTGCTATGTAGGACATGAAACGATAGTGTTCCACTGTGCTATGTGGGGCATGAGACGATAGTGTTCCACTGTGCCATGTGGGGCATGAGACGATAGTGTTCCACTGTGCTATGTGGGACATGAGACGATAGTGTTCCACTGTGCTATGTGGGGAACTACAATCCGTGTCTGTGACAATTTTTCTAATGGGACTCAATGCTTCATACCACCCCACCACCCCATTACCCCATCACCTCCCACGCCAATTATTTTTGGAGATAATTGCAGTTAACCTTCAATGGCAAGACGACACATGAATGACTGACTGGTTTAATCTCTACAATTATAGCACAAAGCCCTGAGACTGCCGTGACTGGCAGAGATCAGTATCATTTTTGTGCCAGGTTATGCAGTTACAAGTCGAAACAAACATACATCTGCGAGCTATCAGCTGTGGAAGACGGTCGAGCAACGGACCATGCTGATATAATAAATGATCTAAGTTAGACGTTTGCGCGATTTAATGGATGACTGAATCTGCACCCATGACCAGACTACAAGAAGAAAAGCAAGGGAAAAGGGGTGACACCTAACAAGAGACTTATGCAAGAAACCACAAAAAAGTAACAAACACACCGAACTAGTTTCGCTGGTAGTAGCAGTAATTTTTTCAAAAATATCATGTTGAACTGTCAGGATTATAATTGGGATATATAGTTTTCATCGAATTCTCAGTGTATATAAAACACTATCGTGGTGACGTTAGCACATTGGAGGGTGTAGTAAGGAGAGGTATATGCGCTTAGCGACTGAATGGTTCGATAGGAAGCAAAAAATGATCCGCCGACCAGCTAATTATATAAATCTGCCAGCCACGAACACTGCGCCCACACGATTAACACACAGTGAATAAATTATCTACCTCTGTCAACTATATATATATATATATATATATATATATATATATATATATATATATATATGCATAAGGTTAGTTACGTATCCTTTACAGGACGTTATAGAACCAACCCCAACAGCCCCTGGCTGTTGTGTGGTTTTTCTAGGCAAATTTACGTCCAGTAGTTTGCCATTGCTTCCTGGACGGTCGGCTTTCTTGATACCACTGTCGAAACCAACGCAAGGCGCATGGCCAGCAGCTGGGATCGAACCCGGCTTCCCGGCATTACGAAGCGTTCGCATCAACTTAGCCACAGAGCCGATATACATGCATAAACTGTTACTTATTTTCTTTAATTTTCTATATCCATTTCTTCAGGTTTTTAAACTCAGATATAAACCACTGCCCACCTCCACCCCCCCCCCCACCCACCCCCCTTTTTTTCCCCCAACATCACGAGCCTCACCCTTACTTACTAAATTTGGAACCCGCCATCATCGAAAACATTATTTCCATGTTTTCAGTTCGATCAGCACCTTTTCTGTGACGAATGCATGTCGGCATTGAGCCTGAAGAAAAATATAGTAATCTCCTCCGAAACAAAGATAATATGTAGCCTACGCAGTTTAACGCAATAGATCGTATATTTCTCTTATACATATTTAATGGGAAAATCACAGCGGTTTCGTTAATAGCACAAAATTCTGCCTATTTCACTTCAATAAGGACACATGTTTTTTTACGACGACTCTTAATTGTGACAAACTTCAGTTACAATAGCTCTTCGACCACTATGGCTCCCAGTTTAAACGTATAGTACATACATGTCTGCCTCTGAATTATATGTATGTTTCGTCGTTTTATTGCATGCATTCTCTGTCGAGAAACGTGCACTTAATTCTGATCATGACATATTATCGTTGGGACATCGATCAATAATGCATTAAAAGCACAAATTCACGTTATGAAATCTGATGTTCGATTTCGAATACCCAATTTCTATGCACAAAAATATCGTACTCGGGTATGTGAAAAGCAGACTCAAATGTTATTTACCGCGTTCAGTGGATATGTGGCCGTGAATTGCATGGGTCAGCTAGAATGGCAATGAGAAATGGTAATGCAGACTTGGCTATTTACTTGGTATTTTTTTAAAGCCCAGTCAGCAGTATTAGACGCAGCATGGATTTTGCTGTGTGATCATAAAAAGTAGTAAAATGTAAAGGTCCCTTCTTTACGCCTTTATGCTGCTTATAGGGAAATAGGGCTAGACATATGTTTGTATAGACCAATCGTTAGAACGCAGTGGTGAATTGTTTTTAGGACCATATTTGTAAGCATGGCTCATGATGGGAGCACAAGAACGCATTACAATTTAGGGTTAAAACCAATTCACTGCCAACGCAAAGGAAACCCTGTATATACATACAGAGCTCCCAGAGGTCAGTACCCTGTCCATATGCCGGTACGCAAATGGTGTAAAAATTGTATTTTTTTTTTTCTTCTTCCAAGTACAGGGTGTCCTAAGTTTCTCATCATCATCAGATGACTGGCGTGGGCGAACATGCCTCTCCATATTCCAGGATCTCCTGCAGCATGTGTCAGTTCGTGTGCCGACACACCTCCATGCCATGCAACAAGACTGTCAAGAATCTTTTCTCGTTGTCTTCCCCTGTCCCTCCTTCCACAGATCTTTCCAGTAGTCACAACATGTTCTATTTTCCCTATTCTCATAACATGGCCAAAAAATGATGACCGTCTCCTTCTGATGTCTGTGAAAAGTTGTCTTTGGGCACCCGCCTCTTTCAAAACCTCTTGGTTGCTCTTTTTGGCTGTCCAAGGTATTCTAAGCATTCTTCTGTAAAACCACATCTCTGAGGCCTCAAGAAATTGTTTGGCCTGCCTACCGATTGTCCAGGATTCACATCCATATGTTAAAACTGGATGTATGTAGCAAGCAAGAATTCTTTTTCTAACTCTCAATGACAAGGATATATTGCACAAGATGTTTCTATGCATAGGGGAAAAAACATGCCATTACAACTCCAGCATTACTTATACGTATTTTACAGCAGTGGATCGACGTCTGTTTTCACAATATTGCTAGTTACGTAGACCATGTTTTACAAAACAAAATGATTGTCACAAAAGACGTATATTTTTCCTATGCAGGGAAATTTATAGGACACCCTATAATATAAATAGCATCATCCTACTTACAATACATGTATGTAGAGAAACTGCATATGATAATAAATAGTAAACAATGACATGTTGGTGATTTGTGGGAAATCTATTCAATGCCTTGTCTTTCCCTTTCACAGATACCTGGTCATAGCTCACCCGCTCTCCTCCAAGACTTTGTGTACGTCCAGGAATGCTCGCATTGCTTTGGCTTGTACTTGGATCACAGCGATTCTCTTGGCATGCCCTTCCTTCGTTATTATGGTAAGCTTCTGTGGTTTATTGGAGCTGTTGAAGTCCCAGTTTGCTTACGCACTGGACACTGCAGACGCATATAAACAGGTTATGAGAAAAGCAGCCTCTGTCAGTGTTTTTGTGCCTAACAGACTCCAAAACATGTCTTCTTGCAAGACTGTTCTCTCTTGGCGGAACTGCGAATCAACATTTGGCCACGCCCAGCAGAATGACGACCAAACTGTAGGGAGACCTAAGAGGCATTGAGATGTCATCCCAGTTTATGGCCCACAGAGAATGAAGCGCATGACCAGAGATCACCAAAGAAGTCCCAGATGAAAGGATCAACTTCACTGTACCGGATTTTGACCCACATGTCTCTGTGTCAATTAGCAGAACGTCTAGAGGCTTGTTGAGAGAGTTGTACAAAGCATGACCTTCGTATCTCCAGCGACTATTCCATGAATTTCAGTTCAAGTTGCATAGTAAACCGAACGCTGGAGTCCGTGAAACCCAACAAACCATCAGAGATCAGGACAAACAATTTGACAACGTCTGCACGGAGAAACTAGTCTGTTTTATTCATATCAGAAGCTGGGTTGATCTACAGGGTTTGTCGAAAATACATCATAATATTCTAGTCTGCATTCTAGTATGCATGGTTCAGAAATCGCCTTTTTCCAAATAATTGTTAATAACGCTATAATGTGAACCTCTGGCAGTTCGAGGCAATTATAAAACTCTGTTTTTTTTAAATGTGTGTTTTGTATGTTTGTATTAGTGTGTAGTTTGAAGAATTGCCACTCCAACATCTCATTTCCACATAAGCCTGTGCATGTTTAAATATTTTAGAATTTAATTAGTTAAATAGGCCTCTCATATGATGGGATTTGAGTTTGTGGAACAGATCATGAGACAGCACTGTGGAAAATAGACGAGGAAATTAAGACTCTGATGAATACAGAAGTGATCTGTATAAATAACTGTAGGTCAGCTAGAATGGCAATGAGACCTGGTTAATGCAGACTTGGCTATTTACTTGTTTTTTTTTTTTTTTTGTAGCCCAGTCAGCAGTACTAGACACAGCATGGACTGTCCTGTGTGATCATAAAAAAGTTGTAAAATGTAAAGGTCCCTTTCCCACGCCTGTATGCGTATAGGGATATAGGGCTAGACATATATTTGTATAGACCAATCGGCACATGATGGGTGTGTGATCATGGGAGTGAACATCCGTCATGCGCAGTTGGAATGTCTAAACCAAGCAAGATCACGGCTATAAGAGCGAGTAAGATTCACGTAGGAAAGGACCACAACATTTTGTAGACGCCTCTAACAGAAGTTACGCAGTAGAATCACTAGCTCTGTTTGTATGCAGCCTTTATGGTTAACCCCAGAAGTGGAGCAGACATTGAAAGTGAAGATACCAACAGTTAAACAGTTATAGAGCGTGTTGGAGATACACCGGGGGTCACAAGTGGAAGTGGAGATGGCAGAAAGTGTTAGAAACAAAAACTTAAAAGAGTTCTTCAAACATTGTGTAGCAGATGCAACCTAATATACGTCTGAACGGGACAATGTTGTGAACGAATTTTTACGACATAAGTCCCACTTGATCTTGTGGGTGCCTCAGTAGAGTCTGACATGATACTTTGAGTACGCTCCTGGGGAAGGAGATCTGTACTGGCTGGCGAACTGAATAGCAGATACTCGGATGGGTGGGAAGGACTTACGAGCAGTGCAACATCTTCCTGGGACCTGCATTTTCACATTTGCTTCTCGATGTGTTTGCAAGCAAGATTACAGAATATGAAGCATATGAAGGATACTGACATGTGCTTCTCGCTGTGTTTGCATGCAAGATTGCAGAATATGAAGCATATGAAGAATACTGACATGTGCTTCTCGCTGTGTTTGCATGCAAGATTGCAGAATATGAAGCATATGAAGGATACTGACATGTGCTTCTCGCTGTGTTTGCATGCAAGATTGCAGAATATGAAGCATATGAAGGATACTGACATGTGCTTCTCGCTGTGTTTGCATGCAAGATTGCAGAATATGAAGCATATGAAGGATACTGACATGTGCTTCTCGCTGTGTTTGCATGCAAGATTGCAGAATATGAAGCATATGAAGGATACTGACAGGTGCTTCTCGCTGTGTTTGCATGCAAGATTGCAGAATATGAAGCATATGAAGGATACTGACATGTGCTTCTCGCTGTGTTTGCATGCAAGATTGCAGAATATGAAGCATATGAAGGATACTGACATGTGCTTCTCGCTGTGTTTGCATGCAAGATTGCAGAATATGAAGCATATGAAGGATACTGACATGTGCTTCTCGCTGTGTTTGCATGCAAGATTGCAGAATATGAAGCATATGAAGGATACTGACATGTGCTTCTCGCTGTGTTTGCATGCAAGATTGCAGAATATGAAGCATATGAAGGATACTGACATGTGCTTCTCGCTGTGTTTGCATGCAAGATTGCAGAATATGAAGCATATGAAGGATACTGACATGTGCTTCTCGCTGTGTTTGCATGCAAGGTTGCAGAATATGAAGCATATGAAGGATACTGACATGTGCTCCTCGATGTGTATGCATGCAAGATTGCAGAATATGAAGCATCTGAAGGAAACTGACATTTGCAGATGATGTTTTTACATATAGTCCGGGGAGCGATAGCCAACAGCTCAAGAGCTACATGAAACAGTAGGCAAAGTGACTAGTTGGTGTGCAAAGATAAGCGTTACCTTTAACTCAAGATAAGGCGGCTTTGTTTTTGTGTTGCTCTCTAGACAATAGAGTTGTCAGACTCCATATTAACGACAAACGAAGAAGATGAATTATACACCACTGGACACGTGATAATTGATGTAGTCTCGTCCGCCGTCTGTGCTTTTTTGACAATTTCTTGCTGCTCTTTAAAGACTGAACGAAATAAAACCCCGTCTTAAAGTGAATTCAAGTACATTACCCATGGAAGGACAGTCAGTCGTGTTTGCCATCTCTGAAATGAAGACCTGTTTTGGCCAATGAAATATACCTGTGTCAGGAAGCTGATGCACATATCACTTATTCGTTAAATCTCCAATTTTACAATCGTCGGCAGTATTCTGGTTTTAAAGTATGTCTTGCCGGTGCTCTGTAAGCAAATCTACACTGTGATATCAGAAAGTAGTGGTACGTACGTGAAGATAGGCAGTGTGGTAATATAGTTGCTAATATTAGTTAAATTATATTAATTAATAGTTGTTGAAGTGGTGATGATGACGGTAGTGGTGATGCTGGTAGTAGTAGTAGTAGCAACGGCAGAAGCTGTAGCAGTATCTACAGCAGCAACAACAATAGCAGCAGTACTGAAATAGTAGCAAGCTGTAGAAGTAGTACTAGAAGCAATCGTAGTAGTTGTAGTAGTAGTAGTAGCAGCCTCAATAGTACTAGTATTAGTATTCGTAGTAGTAGTAATAGTAGCAGCAGCAGCTCAACTAGTTGTCATCATCATCAGCAGCAGCAGCAGTTTTTAGAAGAAGCAACAAGTTGTGTGTGTGTGTGTGTATTTTTAATAGCACACTAAGACGCAGCCGCTGACGCCCTAGCACTACTTATCAATGGGTGGAACATGAAAGGTGACAGTTTTCCTGAAGTTAGTGTTTCAACCCCTAAACTGTTGCACGTTTCTTGCATGACAAACAAGGATTGGCCGGGTGTTCTGTCACTTGTTGCCAGCTAAGCTTTAAAGGGTAATATGTTTATATCCGACCTGATGCTGGCGTTGTCAAAACACCAGGATTTGTCATTTCGCTGAAACTTTCACTTGCGAAATATAAATCTGGACCTGACAGCCACCCGTGAAATAATCAGCTTTTTTACCAGAGGTATCTAGTTTTGACTGACTTATATATTCATGCATTGGTGTGTTTAAATTAGTTTGTAAGCAGAAAACTGATATACAGAAAGGATAAGGAAAAGCAGAAACATACAGACAGACTAAAGGACTGATAGAACACGGGGTAGGCAAGCATACAGGTAAGTAAGTAGATCCACGCACAGATAAACAGTAGGAACATACACAGGATAAATCTAAATTCACAGGGCAGAGAGTTTCTATCTAACTAATTAGGGTTTTGTTCGGTTGAATGCTGAGATAACGAAGTCACAATAATACATGCTAACTGCTTTTACATATGGATATAAAGAAGGAGGAGGAAGAGGCCGAAGAAGAAGAAGAAGAAGAAGAAGAAGAAGAAGAAGAAGAAGAAGAAGAAGAAGAAGAAGAAGAAGAAGAAGAAGAAGAAGAAGAAGAGAAAGGTGATGATGACGATGATAGTGTAGATGATGAAATACCTAAAACCTAAGGAAGGATCACTATGTATGTAGGTCAAATGCTCATTACAAGTTATCATAGCTTTAAGGAAGAGGAGAGCTCTGCTGATAGGATCTGTCGCCATGACACGTTAGCACCTGTTTGGGAGTCAAACCTTTACACTCACGTGACTTATATAAAGATGTAAGCAGTTTCCTGGCATAGACAACCCCGCCAACGCATCGGACTTAACAGTGGAAACTCAGGCTTTCGGGGGATTTACTATTCAACCAATGCTAGGTCTGAAAACTAAGCCCGGGCCTCCTTACATCCGTAGTTGGACATTCTCTAACTCTGCAAATCCACGTAGCCCGAGAAATCAAATGAAATTTGTCTCACTAAGCCTGTTACTAGCTATAGTGTAATGCCATCATACTCGTACGGCTGTGCCAATTCTGGTGAGAAAGAGAATTCTCGTAGGCCAATGGTCCCAGCCCTTTTCAGGTGGCGCCCCCCCCCCTCTCTTTGAGTGTGTGGCAAAACCTCTACGCCCCTCCCCACCCTCTTTTGAGTTATGGCAAGACCTCTACCCTCCTCCCCTTTCTTTAAGTGTATGGAAAGACCTCTACCCTCCCTTCCCCCCCCCCCCCCCCCCCCATTTCACAAATAACGAAATGCGATACAAAAAGAGGAAGAACGTGTTATTAATCTATAGTAAATGCAGGTGTTATCATATTATTTGGATTTTTAACAGAAGGTGTACTAAGTGTTGATGAAAACAAAAATCCTTTTAGTTTTATAAATAGTTTTACAATTATTTTACTTACAATTAAATTGATAAAAATTTAAAAAGAAAGTTAGTGTAACTGATTATTACCAGTACAAATGGACTTATTTTGAGGTAAGTTGTACCCCACTAGGACATCGAGCAAGTGATAAACAACCAATGATACAGAGTGCCACCATGCGGATGAGTATCACCCGTAGAGAAGTCATGGAAACCCCGTTCAGCCGTTAGGCCATATTTGAGGCCCGGTTATATTTAGGGCCCCTGGCAAAAGCTAAGGGTGGGGTTTTAAAATAACAAAAAATTGTGTCCCTCGGGGGGGATGATAGTTAGTTCTAATGTTGGAATGTGAGCCATGTATGGTCAACAGATTGGGATCAGATAATGTGAAGAATAAAACGAATAGCTACCGAAAGGAACATAATTTTGACATTTAAAATATTTGTAATTTAATGATTGAAATTGTTAAAACTGCACATATTAGTTAGGTTTCAGTTAATCAATTCACATTTCTATTGCATGTGAGTAATCTTTTATTTTCTGGCGTACTGACTGACTGACTTTCTACCCCACTAGGACATCACACAAGCGACAAACACCCGATGACACAAAGTGCCACCATGCGGATGAGGATCACCGTGGAGAGGTCCCAGAAACCGCGTTCAGACAACTGGCCATATTGATGGCCTGCCTATATTGCGGCCCCTGGCACAAGCCAGAGTGGGGCTTCAAATAACAAAAAATTACGTCCTGTAAAGGACGTAATGCATATTTTCTGGCGTACGGGTTTTACAGTTAACAAATATAAACGTGCCACCGTATCGACAGCTAAATCTCAAATTCGGATAGAATTATTGGAAGCAAAAATGTTGGGAGGCATTCGAATCGCAGCTTATGGGGATGATACATGTGAGTGGTGAGTCCCGGTCACTATTGATGACCAGGAGGAGGGTGAGGATTATGTTAATCATAATAAAAAAAAACAATATTACTTGTTATTTCTACAGGGGACAGAATCTAACAGGTACTACAACAATTCAACATCGGTGGTTGTGGTTCTTTGTGCCGACCTTGGAATTGGTACCCAAGAACGACTATCTTATGCCATCTGGCAACTGGCTGGCCTCTTTCTGGTGCCCACAAGCATTCTACTTTATTGTTACGTCAGAGTCATTTGTATTCTGTGGCTGAGCGCCAGGCAGCTTCAAACACTCACCTCGCCAAATAGGTCAGTAAGCAGACGGACAGTCTACTGTCTTTCTCTTTTTCTTGCTAATATCCCTGAATAATAATTATTAACAAACGAGCACAGAAAAGACGAAAAATTTATGAGAACAGGTGAGTCATAGTCATGACCGCGTATGTAAACACATCTGGGTACCTGGTAATGTCATGGGAAGTAAAGGCAGCATATTTAATGTTCACCACATCTCACAAAGTACTCACTGGTCTATAAAATCTAGATCTAACACTGTTTGTCCGATGGGTCACTGGTTCAAAAAGCGACGATTACTTACTTTACTTTTTTATGAGACCTGGTTGTTAAACACACATTGCTTAAGAGGATTCCCGGTTATGAGCTGAATGTTAATTGTTGATTTAGGAATCGACATCACAGCACTCGTGACACCCCTATAAGCGCTCCGTCCCCATCTTCAGCAGGAAACGAAGAGTTCAAATTATGACGGCACCAGTAACTGTCTGATTGTATTTCCGTCTTGTCCTTCCCTTGAGTCTTGAGCGTCGGTTAGATCCCCTGGTAACCCATCAACGGTTATGAGTTATGTGTTGGATTGTCTTCACAGGACTCCGGACACATCCATGGGTGCTCAGATTCCCCTCTCAACATATTCACCAGCGTCGCGCGGTTTATAGTGCCAGTCCTATGCTGGTTGACAAGACTTATGTGCGCCCTGAGTGCTTCTCATGCTTGGCTGTGCCGATCTTTACTCCCAATTATCGTTTTCTTAGCATTGATGTGGACAGGTTGCTTCCAAAATCCTCGCAACGTCCTATCTCTCTGAGGGCATTGACAATTTCTGCGTGATCCATAGACCAGCCATCTTCAAATAATGCGGCACCTGCCAGTCTATCAGCTCTTTCGTTACCTACAACACCTCCTGGAACAGATATAAAGGTAACTGCATACACAGGAGAGTTTTGCAATGACCCAATCCACTGTCTACTTAACCAGCCTGCCTCCGCCCGGCGAATCATGCTCAGATAATCACTCAGCACACACACGCAGGGATAGTCCAGTGATGCTAGCCACATGAAAGCTTGTGTCACCGCCATCACCTCCATCGTTATGCTGCTGGTAGTCATGGAGAAGGCGCCGCTGGCTTCTTGAACTGCTCTGCATAAAGAGCAAGCTGTAAATGCCCATGCACTCTTATGTTCTCTTACAACAGACCCGTCTGTGAGGATCAGCACATCTGTCTCATCTGATCTCATTATAGGGCGGAACAAAACCTCTCTACCAAATATATGACAGGACACCCCCTCTCTCTTTCCATCGACCTAAAACAATGTGATTACAAAGTGGAGAACAAAAAAGAAAAATTCCAAGCACTATGAACAAGAACTTGGAGGCAAACATCTACATAAATCCAAGTGTTAAAAAAACATAACGCCCCTGGCATTTCTGTTTTATATTTATATATTTCTATTTCTGGGCCTGACAACGTCACAAGCAGACATCTTCATCTTCATCTCTCTCTCTCTCTCTCTCTCTCTCTATATATATATATATATATATATATATATATATATATATATATATATATATATATATATATATAGTGCTTGTAACGTTGTCAGGCCCAGAAATAGAGGGATTTCCCTTGCCGTGGTCGTGTTGCAGGTCCGGTCCTGTGTTGCGGGCGTGTCACGCTTAGTGGCCGGCTAGCAGCACGACTTATTGTACGCGTTGTTGTCAGCGGTCGGCGATATCCCGTTGTTTTTTTTTCCACGATGTGAGCGCTCTTAACGGTCCCAAAACATGTAGAACTGGCCCTAACCCGAACCTCCCTACACCACAGCCTCAGCCTACGTTCCACGAGAGAGTGCAGCCTACATCCCACGACTGCATGAAGCCTATGACAACGGTTAGGTTAGTTGCGTATCCTTTACATAACGTTGCAGAACTAACCCTAACAGCCCCTGGCTTTTGTGTGGTTTTTCTAGGCAAATTTACGTCCAGTATTTTGCCATTGCCCTGGACGGTCGGCTTTCTTTATACCACTTTCGAAACCAACGCAAGGCGCATGGCCCGCAGCTGGGATCGAACCCGGCATCCCGGCATTACGCCTATGACAATAACGCGTATAATAACGTCGTATTGCTGGACGCTGTGGTAACTTGGTTGAATGACCATGCCTTGGACTGCCATTATCAGTTTCTTTTGCCATGGATCCCCCAGATTTGACGCCAGTAGTACGGAGAGCTGTAATCACGTGACCCACAGAAACGGCAGTCTTCATTGGAGAGCCAGGTGTAGTCCATCTTTTAGAGCAGGGGAAGAGGCATTACAAAAGAGGAAACAAGTGAGTCACAAACTCGTTCTGGATGCATGATCAAACAGAGCCCGTGTGTGCGCGCGTGTGTGTGGTGTACGTGTATGGATGTGTGTGTATATATATGTCCTTCAAGGCGTGCGTGCGCTTGTGTGTAAACTTAAATCAACAAGTGTGATAGAAATATTTTTTTAAAAAAAAAGGAAATACAGGGTTTGTCCTGAACGTAATTGGACAAGCGCTGTAGTTTTGCGCAGCGCTGTGGGTGGGGAAATCGCTGGCTGGGCGGTATGGTGAGGGTCGTTAGCTAAACATTGACGATTAGTAGTTAGTGCGTGCGGATCGTGGAAGTAGTGAATTCCTGTACGAGTGATGTGTCATAACAAAAATGGAACACTCCATCGAACAGTGTTACGCAATTAAATTTTGCGTCACATTTGGAAAATCCGGGACGGTGACTTTGGAAATGTTAAAGTCAGCATACGACAATGAGTGCCTGAGTCGACCAATGATATTTAACTGGTATACGGCCTTCAGGGAAAGTATAGAAGATGGTGAGGACGAGAGACGGTTGTCAATTACTTTCAGAACTTGTAAAGGAAGCAAACATGCATTTACGGCGGCTGGAAACCTATGCAAAGAGTTAATCAAGTCGAGAGGATCGACTTCATTGCACCGGGTTTTATCCCATAAGGCTCAGTCTCTCTCCGTAAAACGGCTAACAGCCCGCCGATAGCGTCGAACAAAATACGAACTCTTTAGCTCTAGCGACGATGCCTAATAAGGCGTACGCATTTGAGATGCAATATTAACATCGAAGATTAAGAGAATTTAAGTCAAAGCTTCTGTTGTCCTACTTTGCGGATTGTATCCGCAGTCTCTTAAACGTCTAAATGTCTACAGCGACTATTTCTGGGACTTTTGAGTATGTGCTTGCTTCAAGACTGACAAAGATGTTTCATTTTCGTGTCAGGGAATGCAGATGTAAAAAAAAAAAACAATGAACATGCTGATACGGTAGCGGGTAATGCTGTTTTGGAGAGTGGTGGAAAAACTGACCTGGCTGATTTTCTGCATGTCTTACGAGAAGTAAGACGTTTTCGAGAATCAATCGATGATTATGAATCTGAACCAGAATTAGAATTCAAAAACAGTAAATGAAATGGGAATGTGGAATAAGCTATATAAGAAGAATAAACAATACGATTAAACATTTTTCTGGATTTGAACCTGTGTGTTTCTCATCTGTGAGTTGTTAAAACACAGATGTAGTCCTGAGGGGGTAAACTAATTAAAGTGGTGTTATTTGATAACGTCTTATATAGTACACAACTCGCCCAAAACACGATCATATATTGTCTTTATTGATCACATTGCTGTTTCCAGAACTGTTTGCTTTTAAATCGCCGTCTTCGAGCATACTGTTATAGAGATAAAATTCGAGAGAATCGGAACAGTTGACATGGCCAGCCGAGATTATCGCACAAAGCGCGAACATCGTAGCTTTAGCGACGATCCCTAATTATTAAAATTGAAATTGTGAAATGAACGACGCAGATGTAAAAAAAAACGTGAGATACAGAGCGTGTGTAAGTCAACATAGTGTGTAAAGAGACTGTGTTTGTTAAAGTGCATACGTGAAGGAGACAAATATGAGAGAAAGAGATACAGAGAGAGAAAGAGAGAGAGAGAGAGAGGAAAAGGGAGAGAGAGAGAGAGAGAGGAAGAGAGAGAGAGAGAGAGAGAGTGCATGTGAGACAGAAAGCGTGTGTAGGTAAACATGTGTATGCAAGACTGTGAATATGTGTGTGTGTGGCACAGAGCGAGAGGGAGGGAGGGAGAAAGAGCAAAAATGCATGCGAATGAGATTGACAGATTTAAAAAAAAAGAGGGGGGGGGGGCGGCAGGAACCAGTGTCTGTATTCTAAAGAATGCACGAGAGACGGGGGTGGGTGTAGAGAAAGTTAGCACGTTTCCTGACGACCAACAAAGTTTATATCAAATCTTATGCAATCGAGGCGGGACGTTTATTCAATTGCCCAGTTTAAAGGGGTAGTATGAAATTTTCGGGGGACGTAATGGCGGCCACATCATTTCCCAAATTTTAATTGGGGCTAGAACAAAACTGCCAAATGCAAAGTGTATGTGTATACGCGCGTAAAAATGTTTTTTGTGTGTTTACGTATACAAAGTGTTTATGTGCGCGTGACTGTGTGTATGATTATGTCTGTGTTTGTGCGCTTGCGTGTGTGTGTAAATGTTCGTATGTGTATATTGGTGTTTGTAAATATGTATGTGCTCGTGCATATAAGAGCGTGTTTGTGTATTTGCATGTATGCCTTCGTTTATGTATGTGCATGAGTGTTTGTGCAGCATGGTTAACTAGGCACCCCCCAAAAAGGTGTCTTTTTGGCCATGTCTATCACCATAAGTGCCCCGCTGAGTTAGAAGTAGAACGGAGCATTGATGGGTTACACCCGTGTGCCATGATGTTGATCCGTCGTATAACCATGAAATACACAACTATGGAATACGGACATAATTTATTTCAAACCAATGAAATGGCACCATAGGATACAGAAATTTATATTAACGAAGCAAATGTCGAATAACAAGCACAGTAACAATTTTACAAACACAGTAGACTTTAATGCTTTGTCTAGAATACACAAATATTTAAGAAAGGTATTTGATTGGTAGGTTCTGGTGTGTATACGTCATTCCCATAAAAAAACAGAGGGGAAACCCTTGAGGCCGTTAAATATTATATATGAATAAAGTAACAGAAAATGTATTGATCGGCACTCATAGAAAGAAGTCGAAAGATAGAAGAACACACTAGCCAACATAAAAATCTAAAGCTATAGTTACCATGCCGGGAATTTATGGGAATGTCAAAAAGAGAAGATTGGCAATGATAGTGAAGGTTGCCCGAAGAAGAGAAAGAATTGAATTGCGTTTCACATAAATGCGCCTTATTATTTGTTTTTCATTGTCTTTTTTCCACAGCTGGTCATCAGCTGCCTTCCTTACCTCCAGTCGTGCATTAATCCCATCATCTACGTGTTGATGTCCAAGAATATCCGCACCAGCATCCGCAAGATCGCCTGCTCGCGCTGCCCTTGCAAGTGCTTTGCAGAGAACCAATGGACAGAGTCGATTTCCCATGAGCTCATCAAGACAAACCAGAGCCAAGGTGCTTCCTCTATGGAGACTTATCGCAGTTTCAGAAGTAACAAATCAACAACAGCCCATGTTTAACTACTTATTTAAACCATACACAAAAATTGTGAAAATAGGAGTGACAGCGGTCAAGCTAATACCAAGATTTTAATCACCTGAACTATTCTAATTAAAACGGACACAAATAATACGTTGCACAATTTATTGCCAGGCATATCTCGTCAGGTGCGTTACTACAAAGTTAGTTAGTTGCGTATCCTTTACAGGACATTGCAAAACCCCAGTAGTGCCTGGCTGTTGTGTGGTTTCTCTAGGCAAATTACGTCCAGTAGTTTGCCACTGCTCTCTGGACGGTCGGCACCCTGATACCACTGTCGAAACCAACACAAGGCGCATGGCGCGCAGTTGGAATCGAACCTCTAACCCCGGCATTACGAAGCATTAGCATCGACTTAGCCACAGAGCCGACTTCTACAGAGTTACATCAACAGAAAATGAAGCACAAAAACTGAATAAATACTACTGAAATGTGAATATTGTCTTTCAATGCATCGTGTGTTGTCTAGTCACCCCAGAACTATGACTAATAAGCTTTAGGAAAGAGGAAAAGGGAACACAGACACATATAAGCACGTTCGGGCACACACGCACCCACACAAAACTGGTCTGAGCCTTTCTCAAGGGGACTGGTGGCCAGCGTACCTTGTCCTTTGTTGTTGCTATTTTGGTTTATATTGAGAAAGGCTCCGGCATGAACATCTTTTTGTTTTGTATGTCTATGTTGCTTCCCTTGCACCTTTCATTAACTCTTTGAGTTCCAGGGGGTTTAGCATCACAGGCCCAGGTGGTAGTAAAGAAAGTAATAAAATCAACGCATCATGCGTTCATTGGGCTTCTAGGTAGGAACCTATGAACGTATAATGCGTTCCTTGGGACTCAAAGAGTTAAGTTTCTTAGTGGCAAAAAGGGAACAATGTACACATACAAAACAAAAAAGGCTTGTACCTCCAGGTACTTGATAATGATGATGAAGGTTAAGTTAGTTCCATGTCCTATTCAGGATGTTGCAAAACAGCCAGGTATTTATTCACTGTCTATGGTTTTACTTGACCATATTACCTTCCTATAATGAATTTAAATAATGCGGACACAAACAACACATGGCAAAATTTATTGCCAAGCACATGTCGCTGCTCAGGTGCGTTACTACGGAGTTACACCAACACATACTAAAACACACGCCCAAAAAAAGTTGAAAAAATGAACAAATTACACTGAAATACAAAGTCTTTCTTGATACACTGTATCTGTCTCATCATCAGAATTTAATGTGACTTACCAGGGTAACATCAAATTTATAATGAATTCCTTCTGTTTACATAAGAGGGAGTTGTAAATTATTGTTAAAGCTTTGGCCAGTTTCAGCAATTGCCTTTTTAGTGTGTGGTAAATCACACATAAACATTATCCTTGACAAATAAATATCCAGGATCAGGCAAATGATGTCTTTTAGAGAAGAGGTGGGATCTTTGTGGAATTACTCAAGTGTGCATGGAGCTATTTGAGTACATAATTCTGCTACTCTGTTTTCAACTTCTCTCTTTGTTCGACCAATGTAGGTCAACTGGCACTTACAAGTAAACTGATAAATACTATTATATTTAGTGTCTAAGCATGATTGGATGAAAGTGGTCTTGTACCTCAACAGAAAACTTGTGCTTCATTAAATGTTGATGTAACTCTGCAGTAATGCACCTGACGAAATAGAGTAAAATATGCCACACACAAAATTGTGCAATATATTGTTTGCATCCGTATTATTTCAAATATTATCTTCAATGGTTTGCCATTGCTTCTGAATGGTAAACTCTCAGACCACTGCCAAAATCAAGGCAAACTGGGTGTGCTAAAAAAACACCTACAGTGTTAGACAGTAAGTCGCCTCATAACCATCGGGCGCAATAATATAATTGTGTTATATGTTTGAACGGGGTTTCTAGGAATTGCTCCCAATGATTCTTTTGTGGCGGTGCCCTTGATGTTAACTCTTTCAGACCAAACAAATCACCACACATTTCTTAGTCATTCCAAAGATAATAAACTGCTCCTGCTGTCTTCTTTCATGGAAGCACATGATGTATTACCGCGTGCATCCGGATTATTAGTTTAATTACTTCTGTGACTTAAATTTCTTGTCAATTAAAACATGATCATTTGATTTCATGTACAGATTGACATTAAAATAATCTGGCAACATAAGGAGTGTCAGACTTGAGGAGTGTCAGATTTGTGAAAATGCCAGATTTATTACAATTATATATGCTGTACATATACAGAAAATAAACAAATGTATAGTCCTTTAAAGAAGGAAAATTAGACATTAAATGAAAAGCGAATGAAATGTTAGTGTTCAACAACTTAACAGAACGCTTCTGGGCAAATTTATTTCAAATGAATAAAACAGTTCCTCAGAATTTTAATTTAAAAAAAAGGAAAGATCCTCAGAATTTTAAATGGAAAATGCATTCTGAAATCCATAAAGAAAATCTGAAGGAAGCCATGGCCAGATTTATTTAAAGGGCAACCTGTATTATGGTCTGATAGTGGACCATCTTGCTTGATATAATCCTACTATCTGCAATTTGATGTGGTATTTTATTTGGATTTGACTGAATAATTCATATCCATGCTTTTCTGCCGCCTATTGAAGGACCAGTGCTGAGTAGGCCACCAAAAATGTACATTCAGCCAAACAGCAGCTCTCAGTAACAATGATCCATCCAACTTTCCAGGTTGTTTGTCTGATTTAAAAAAAAATGTGGAGATGTTCAATTAGGTCTAAAGAAGCTTTTTGTTACAACTGTGTATTTTTCTTTTGTCAAGTTTAATGGCAGAAATTGGGTTTCTGAGCCATGGTTAATATCCCTTTTAGTTTATGATTGTTTTCAATCTGGCAAGTCAATGGGTCTATCCTTTTAAATGGGGAGAAATATTTTCTTCTATGAAATATTTATGTACTAAATAAAAGTAGGATTGTAAGGTGTTTTTCAGACTAGCTAGTATTCTTGTTCTGAATGTCATCCAGACACTCAGATGTCCTTGGCTCTCAGGGTTAAAATGAATACGAATCAATGTCCTGGGAAGTAAAGGTGGTCAGTTTGATGTTGACCACATCACCCACAGAGTGCCTATTGGTCTACAAAACTATTAGTAGTCTAGCATCATATGCTTGATGACCCACTGGCGTAAAAAGGGTTCTTTGGGTTGGCACCTTTCCAGGTAATAGTGTTATATTGTGCAATAGGGTAGTATGGAACTCACGGCTTATGGTGATGGTAAATGACGAGCAAGACCCACTGGCATTAAGAAAAGTCTTCCACAATTACAGCATGATATTTCAGGACCACTTGAAAATTTAACCCTAAAGCACTGACTACTAAAATGTTCAACAAAAGAAACGGAAGACAAAAACATTAAAATATAACATTTATTCACTTTGTTTTTTGCTTTGATTCTTCAAACTTTTTTGTCCCTTGCTCTCCTCCATTTTAACGGTAAAAATATGATAACTTACATTTATTATCAGACAATGGTAGAGTGGATAAATGATTTACTGGTAGTGTGAATGTATCAAATACCATTTTGACACACAGAAGTATACCTTTGTCTAATAGGCAAATGTGATCAGAACTATTTTTGCACCAATTGTCTGATACCAGTATCAGACGGGACCCTAAAAAGCACGGTTATAACCACAGAGATATGCCAGAGTACAAAGATATGCCAGAGTACAAAGATATGCCAGAGCACAGACATATGCCAGAGAACAAAGATATGCCAGAGCACAGAGATATGCCAGAGTACAAAGATATGCCAGAGCACAAAGATATGCCAGAGTACAAAGATATGCCAGAGCACAGAGATATGCCAGAGCACAGAGATATGCCAGAGTACAGAGATATGCCAGAGTACAAAGATATGCCAGAGCACAAAGATATGCCAGAGTACAAAGATATGCCAGAGTTCAAAGATATGCCAGAGTACAAAGATATGCCAGAGCACAGAGATATGCCAGAGCACAGAGATATGCCAGAGCACAAAGATATGCCAGAGTACAGAGATATGCCAGAGTACAAAGATATGCCAGAGTAATAAAATATGCCAAAGCTATGCCAGAGCACAATGATATGCCAGAGTACAGAGATATGCCAGAGTACAAAGATATGCCAAAGTACAAAGATATGCCGGAGTACAGAGATATGCCAGAGTACAAAGATATGCCAAAGTACAAAGATATGCCAGAGTAACAAGAAAAGATAAATTTAAAAAGAAAAAGAAATCAGAAGGCTAGGATTGAAACCAGCCACGCAGATAAAGAACAACAGATGAGATGGTTTAAACATCTAACAAGAACACCCTGGTACCAACCGCCACAGATAGCCATGCTGAAGAAACATAATGGACAAAGAGCCAGGGGAAAACTGCAGAGTGATGTCACTAAGGCCAGCCTTAAATGAAGACTAACTTACACAACACACTCTGGCAGTTAACCCTTTCATCTCTCTCCAACACTTTGATCAAGTAACTGGAGGTAGTGAAGAACAACAGCAAGAATGGATCAATAGCATTTTGAATGAACCAAAAGCAGTTTGAATGAACCACTGATAGTATGAATCAATAGAAATTAACCGAGGCATTACAAATAAAGAAACGGCATTACAAATGAACCATTGGCATTACAAATGAACAAATGGCATTACAAAAGAACCAATGGCATTACAAATGAACCAATGGCATTACGAATGAACCAATGGCATTACAAATGAACCAATGGCATTACAATGAACTAACGGCAATACAAATGAACCAACGGCATTACAAATGAACCAATGGCATTACAAATGAACCAATGGCATTACAAATGAACCAATGGCATTACAAATGAACTAATGGCATTACAAATAAACCAATGGCACTACAAATGAACCAATGGCATAACAAATGAACTAAAGGCAGCCCTTTGAATGACTGGCAGTATTAATAAATCAATGGAAATGTATTAATAGTGTTATGAATGAACCAAAAGCATTACAAATAAACCAGTGACATTATAAATGAACCATGACAGTATGAATGAATCAGTGGCATTATGAAGAATCAATGGCATTCTAAGTAAAACAATGGTATTACAAATGAAGCAATGACATTATGAATGAACCAGTGGCACAGTAAACAAACCAATAGCAAATGAATAATACGTCAACAACTTACATATTCTCAATACAATACATACATAAAGCAATATATGTAATACCATAACAGAAGTTCAATTAATGCCCTGATGGACAACAATCAGTGTTTAGAAACAATAATATATACATAGGAAATGTAATAAAAAGAAACTACATTCAACTTCTTCTTCGCTATACCCTCCAGTGGAGCATGGGCCTTTAAAAACTAACTCATACCAAGTCATTCTGCCATTTGCCACCGCAAGCAGCTCCCCCCATTTTAAAAATTTCATTCTTTAGTTATGTTTGGTCTGCTTTTATTCCTTTGACCCTGTGTGTGTGCAACATTCTACTTACACTGTTGTCAGTTTTTCTAAATGCAGTTCCGATGCCAGCGTCATTTTCCTCACCTCTTGATTCCCCCTTTCTTATGATGCTGTGCTTTCCCTCTGACCTACTCAGTCGTGATACTGGGTGTTTTTCTTTCTTGGACTGTAGCTGGTTGGCACCTTTCCAGGGGACAGCGTTATACTGTACTATAGGGAATAATAGCTCACATAGTGATGGCAAGAGGCTAGCAAGACTCACTGGCAATAAGAAGTCTTGCACAACTGGAGCATGGGATTTCAGAACCATGGTTGCCATGGCATGTAGCCATGGTATATTTAAGCATACTTATTCTGAAACACTCATCTCTGAACCTATCTGAATTCACAGTCTCCTCTATACCTAATCTTTTCTTGATTTTTCTCCATGGGTGACGTGGTAGGACATCACCTGATACCCATTTTAGGTTGAGATGACCTGAAAGCCAAAGTCAATTTTGAAAAAACAGGCTTGATGTGGATCTAAACCCAAGACCTTTGGAAAGGTAGGCAAGCATCTAGTCACTGAGCTACAGCAGCACCCACTATGCATAGTACCTGCTAGAAATTACTTGGCATTTGCCATACACACACTGCTATGAGAACAGCTGTAACAAAAAAAAGAAGCTAAGGAAATGTAACCTGAATGTGTGATTTTAAGTTCATACTGTAGGTTCCAGAGCCCCATTATGTGGAAAACAAGAATAAACTCACTGCCTCCCTAACAAGTATCGCGTACGAATCGACTAATTAGGGATTTCCTTCAAAGTCAGAGTGCATCTGCCTGAGCAGTGAGGAACCAGCAGTCTGCATACAAGTAACTCAGATCTGCAAAAAACAAATGTACAAGCAAAACCCAAATTCTGGAACAAAATTAAGGCTCAGAAGTGGATGAACAACCAGAACTTTCTGCCAGAGCTTTCAGCCAGTAAACATGAAAAAGAAGAAAGAAGTTATGTCACTGGAATAGTGAAACGGCAGATCAGAAAATGTGACAACTGCCTCCAGCCCCAAAACAACCAGATTTGATGCACAGTGTTGACTTTTCAATTCTTACATAATACAAAAACATAATCAACAATAAAATACAATAACACATACAAACCAATGTGATAGACTTATTCATAATATTTGGGATTGTGGATCAGAGGGCAAGCCTTTAAGACAAAGGGGAACAACTCTGATGATCCATGTTTACCCCCCCCCCCCCTCTTTTGTACAAGATGACCTTAAACAGTAATTCATACAGTCCTTGACAGTCTTAAACTAACATAACTGTCTGCACAAAAATATATACAGCCTTTAAAAACCTCTCTAAAGTGTTCCTGTGTCTTCAGATGGTGAATTATTGATTTTCCGTCCTTTTAAGGATTACATTTTTCGTTATTTGAAGCCCTACTCTGGTTCTTGCCAGGGGCCGCAATATACCCTGGCCATAAATATGGCCTAAAGGCTGAATGCGGTTTCTGGGACCTCTCCATGGTGATCCTCACCCACATGGTGGCACATTGTGTCATCTGGTGTTTATCGCTTGTGTGATGTCCTGGTTGGGTAGAAAGTCAGAAAGTTTTAGAATACTGTTGGAGGTTCTTTGTACTTCACAACTCTGATGAGATGTCTTCAGTTATTCACCTCAGAACCGTGGCTCTGCTTCTCTGCCACTGTCAGCCCTCACAACAGTTTCAGTAAAACTGCCGCTGTTCCTGTTTTCTTAAAATTATTTTATTTACACTTCCAAATGATGAGTTTCGGTTGGTGTGTCTGGTTTCTACTGCTTCTTGAACTCTAGCAATATAATGTGGTGTGCTTAAATCAGATAAGATCTAATTGTGCTGACACTTCTGGCATTACAGGCATCAACGTAGTGTGCTTCAATCAGATAAGATCTAACTGTGCTGTGCCTACACACCTGGCACTACAACTGTAATGTAATGTGTGTCAATCGATAAGATCTAACTGTGATGTGTCGGGACAATCAGCTTTTTAGTCACTGTAATGTGCTTCCGTCAGATAAAATATTACTATGCTGTGTCTGTAAACTTAGCTTTTTAGTCACTTTAATGTGCTCTAATATAAATGGTTTTGTGCTGTGCCTAACTAATACTTGGCATTATAGACTGACGGTCATTGTAATGTTTCCCTATCTGTAAAGATCTAATTGTGCTGTTTCTAGACACCTCACCTTTCATACTATCACTGCAAAGTGCTTCTATCAGCTAGGGCTTAATTGTTGTTTCTAGCATTTAATTTTATCATTGTAAAGTGCTTCTATCAGTTAAGGCCTAACTAGAATTTCATTTTTTTCACTGTGAAGCGTCTTTATCAGGTGAGGCTTAAAAAATGCTCTATCCATTAAGGCCTAGTGGTGTTGTTTCAAGCATTTAATTTTGTCACTGAAGTGCCTCGATCAGTCAAGGCCTAATAAAATGCTTCTATCTATTAGGGCCTAATGGTGACGTTTCTAGCATTTAATTATGTCCCCGAAGTGCCTCGATTAGTCAAAGCCTAATAAAATGCTTCTATCCATTAAGGCCTAATGGTGCTGTTTCTAGCATTTCGTCACTCTAATGTGCTTTTATCAGGTAAGGCCTAACTGTTGTTTCTAGCATTTTATTTCATCACAGTACAGTTCCTCCATCAGGTAAGACCTAAGAGAATGTCACTGTAAAGCTTCCAAATCAATCAAGGCCTAACTGTGATGTACTGGTAACTGGTACTGCTGATCCTCAAACATCCAAAAAGCAATCATTCTCTTTATCATTATCCTTATCTCCATCATAAAACTCATTGTTGGGCTCAATCCTGAAAATATAAATAAAAATAACTGTCAGTTTCCTAACTTTCATATACTGAAGGATATGAAATCTGCTGCTCATTAACCCTGTCACCCCAGTGACCTAGGTAAAAAAAACAACCAATGCCAATGACCCACAATTAGGAAATGCTCACCTTCCAAAATCCTTTTTTAAAAAAATGTTTAAAAAACATTCTACACAGGCCACCAAAATAATCACATAACCATTCCATTTATAGATCATAAGAATACTAAATTCTAAATAAAGTACGGGGAATTATTAGTAAACATGAATGCTTCAGAAAATAAAGTGGGTGACAGCATTGTGAGCCTAAAAATAAATCTTTATGGTGACTCTTTTTTTGTACCCCAAGACCCGGTCGTAGGTTAATATTATGGCCAATGGGAAAGTTAAAATGTCACAATTTCTAATAATGAAGCCATTTTTCACTGGAAAAACAATTTAAATGCTATTTTTTTTAGTAAATATAGTAATTCCTGGCCCTCCTAAACGTGTGCAGAGGCACAAGTGATAACAGTGAAGGTATCTAGGTGTCCCATGAACAGGCCACTATAGTCAAGTTGGAAAATGGACTCTCGCAGGGTACTGGACTCAGTTTTACAACGAGCAGCATCAGAATTAGGGTATTTAAGAAGAAGGTAAAAGACCATATTCACCAGCAGCCCCCTTGGCATTTGGTACTAGACTCATATTTAAACAGATCGACACTCTAAAGGGAATGTGGTTAACTGATATTGCTTCCCAAAACATTTCATGGTGCTAAATTTTAAACACAGCCAACCTGGGAGTCAAGATATATTTAAACAATTTGTTTCAATGCAGATTCAAACCCATGACTTTCAGGCAAGTGTCTAACCCCAGTGCTACTACCTCTGCTATTTTAGCATTCATCATTAGTTAGCTTATGCTTGACAGAACATTGCTATCCTCAAGGTCTGCCTTAAAGAAAGATAGAATCTTGCCAGCTCTCCCGCCTCGTGTACTTTCCTACCAAAAGTGTCATATCCTGTGCCCATCTTCATGCTGATCAACCCCTGCCTTTCCTGGTTCCATATCTTCTGCATAAACTGGATGCTCCGTTGTTACCAATAAATTTGAAGAATTCTGTGAACACTCACCTTTTATCTAAATCATCTGTGGAATTCCGCACATCCGGGTCTGTTTCCTCTGTGGTCTCCAAACACAGGAGGTCAGAAGGCACATCTTGCATCTGAACACTTGGAGCTGCGGTCAGCATCTTCAGGTTGTCCAGAACGGTTGACTTTATGTTTTCCAGGTACTGCAAAGTTTACACATTTTATTTCATTATCCTGAGAAGCCAGATTTAACACAAGATAAACTAAATTTTTATATCTTTTTCTCTTACACTGTAAAATTTCTTACAGGCCATTGATTGATAACAGGAAATGCAAGACAAACATATAAATAATCAGACTAGAATCTGTGGTTAACTCTTAACGTTTTCACCCCTGTGACCTAAAAAAATAAAAGAAGACAGCTACTAACCAGCATTTCAGGAATTCCTGAAAAAAATCGTTACTACATTTTTGTTTATGCGTCACAATAAAATCCTAATAATTGTAATTATAGACCAAAACAACAATGCTTTCCATACTGAATAAGAGGAGTCATTAGTAAACAATAAGGCAGCAGAGAATTAACTGGGTTACATATTTCTGAACCTAACAACATTTATACTGCAAATCTCTCCAGACCCAGTGCCCTAGTCGCCAGGTTACCACTAAGGTAAACGGAAAATTCTGACGACATAATTTCTGCTTGGAAAAGGTCTTTGTTCAAAAGAAAACACCCCAAGTGCTGTTTTTAGCAAATATAATAATTCCCTGGGTTCTTAAATGTTTGTGGAGGTGAAAACAATACCAGTGCTGATAGCCTGTCTTCTTACAAACAAGCCACTGTAACTTCTTTTTTGTTGTCTCAATAATATCAGGTTGTAGCCCTGAGTCATGATTTTCTGTATTTTGTCTTGCGCTTCACGGGTGGTTTAAGTGGTGGATTTGTTCCACCTTTTTACAGGTTTCAGACCTTATTATAGGTTTCAGCTAAGATCATTTATCCATCTCTTCACCTCGCCTTCCTCCCAGATGTTCTGCTGTAAAGAGTTTTATATGCAGTTTGGTCTGGCTGCATTTTTTACTAGATGGCCCAATTATTATTTTCTTTGTCTGTCAATATAATTCAGGCACAGACTTATTCCAACTTTCTTTCTAATACTGGTACTCGTAACTCTTTCCCTACTTGTGCTGTTAGTGACCTTAGGGAGAGAGCACATTTCACAGGTAGCTATTTTCTTCAAATTATAAGCCACTAAAACAATTTCAATAAAGTGACACTTAACGGAAGCAAGGCATAAATTGGAAGTCCCCCGTGTGGGTTCCGGGGCTCCATTGTGGGGAAAACAAGAATAGACCCACTGCCTCCCCGAAAGCATGTCGTAAGAGTCAACTAATTGGGGAGCTTCCTTTGAAGTCGGAGTGCATCTGCCGGAGAGGCAAGGAACCAACAGTCTATATTCAAGAGAATGAGATCTGTAAAACTGATGCACACGCAACACTCAGGTTCTGGAGCAGGACTGCAGTTCAGTAGCGGACGAGCAACCAGAACTTTCCGCCAGAGTGTACAGCTGGTAAACGCGAAGAAGAAGAAGAAGATAAATTGGAAGTGTCAGTTTTGAGGCTTCATATGGTGAAAGGCATAAAGCCTAACTTTACTCAGTTAGGGTGACAATATGGTCAGTGCGATCACTTTCCAAGACCGTAGTTAGAGTTTAACCCTCAGGGGTGGCAGGACTGGATTGTGCCCTACATCTCTGAGGAAACCTAATCTCATTACATGAGTGGTGGATAATTTGCATAAATTTCATGCAAAGTGAGGAGGACCTTGAATCTACATTACTGAGCTAAAACTTTGCATTTGTGAGGGCCTGAAACTTAACATTACTAAGCTACAATTAGGCATTTGTGAGGGTCTGAAACTTTACATTACTGAGCTACGATCTGGCATTTGTAAGGGTCTGAAACTTTACATTACTGAGCTACAATTTGGTATTTGTGAGGGTCTGAAACTTTACGTTACTGAGCTACAATTTGGCATTTGTGAGGGACTGAAACTTTACATTACTGAGCTACGATTTGGCATTTGTGAGGGTCTGAAACTTTACATTACTGAGCTACAATTTGGCATTTGTGAGGGTCTGAAACTTTACATTACTGAGCTCCAATCTGGCATTTGTGAGGGTCTGAAACTTAACATTACTGAGCTACGATTTGACGTTTGTGAGGGTCTGAAACTTAACATTACTGAGCTACGATTTGGAATTTGTGAGGGTCTGAAACTTTACATTACTGAGCTACAATTTGGCATTTGTGAGGGTCTGAAACTTTACATTACTGAGCTCCAATCTGGCATTTGTGAGGGTCTGAAACTTAACATTACTGAGCTACGATTTGACGTTTGTGAGGGACTGAAACTTTACATTACTGAGCTACGATTTGGAATTTGTGAGGGTCTGAAACTTTACATTACTGAGCTACGATTTGACATTTGTGAAGGTCTGAAACTTAACATTACTGAGCTACGATTTGGCGTTTGTGAGGGTCTGAAACTTTACATTACTGAGCTACGATTTGGAATTTGTGAGGGTCTGAAACTTTACATTACTGAGCTACGATTTGACATTTGTGAAGGTCTGAAACTTTACATTACTGAGCTACAATTTGGCATTTGTGAGGGTCTGAAACTTTACATTACTGAGCTACGATTTGACATTTGTGAAGGTCTGAAACTTTACATTACTGAGCTACGATTTGGCATTTGTGAGGGTCTGAAACTTTACAGTTACAATATCTCCCATAAGATCGCTTATTACTCCACTGGGGAGCCAAAGTAACTGGATGCTTACCTGGCATCTTTAGAGCCTTGAGATCAAATCTGCCCTGAGAAAGATTTTTATAATGGACCAAGGCTTTCTAGGTTAATCTCTAATAGTATGGGCTTAGTCACACATGCCTACTGTGATAATGGCACAGAAAGGGTCCACCACTTGACTTACTCCATGAATGCTAATTTGTTGCCGAAAACAAAGTAAAATATCAAGAACATAAGTCTTTGTCAGGTATATAATAATAATAATAAATAATAATAATGCTTTTTTGACGATGAAAACTTACTCTAGCACTATAATCAATAAGTCTACTGTTCGTTCGCATTTATATGTTTTCTGTAAGCACTAAGCATTATTCCACTTCTTGTTACAACTACAGACCCCAAGCTGGTTCAAGGGGCCCCTTTTCTGTGTTAAGAATAGACCCCATGTTCCCTAACAAGCATGCTACAAAGGGCAACTAATTAGAGATTTGCTGAAATTGAATGTGTTGAGGTGAAAAGTGTAGATATCACAGCCTAGCTAAAAACCACAAAGTATCAACTGCACTTTTAAGGGCTTTCAAAGAAGAAGTTAAAAGACTGCAAAAGTTTATACCACTGGTAATCATGTCGGCCCACAGCCTCCTGTCTTATGTACTGTCAATCATTTCTGAAAGATACTTTTCCATGTCATGATGCCACACTGTTCAAAATCTGTTCTCTTGGCCTTCCTTTGCCTCTCTTCCCCTCCCATTGTCAAGAGGTATTCCAGGTTACCCCTTCTTAAAATGCAATCTAAGGGATGGGAATGGCAAATGTGCAGTGACGTTGATTGTGATAACATTACATAACCCAGTGTTTCCCAAACCTTTCTTAGTCATGGCCCCTTTTTTCAATTACAATGTTTCCACAGCACCCTTTGCTAAGTAAAAGTATGACAATTTGTATGTAAGAGATCCACACAAAAAAACTTATGTATCTTTAAATATTTTGTGGCGCCCCTCTAAAGAGGTCACGGTTCAACGGGGCGCCGCAGCGCAGTTTGGGAATCACTGACATAACCTACAGGTATTGATGGTTTTCTCTGGAAAGGATAAATAGCTGACTTAAATATCATGTCTTACTTGTCGAGTATTCTGATTTTCTTGCTTTGTGAATATCTCAGGATGAAGAGAAAAGTCAGGCCCAAAGTATTCCAAATATTCTGTGAAGGAAAACAAAACAAAAAAATTAAAAAGCATAAACTGCCAACTGCCAATTACATACCACTTTTGCGGTTTGGGTGGGAAGAGGGGATTTGAGCCTGAAGATTAAGGGCCAAATGAAAGCATAAACAATAAATGTTATTTCAAAAAGCTTACATTTATTAAAATCTGTACTATTACATTGATTAAAATCTGTACTAAATATATGGAAGACTGCTAACCAAAAAAAATTCAAACAAACAGTTGTCTTTCCTGGCATATCATTTTAGCTCTGCAAATATACTTTTGCTGCTTCTCTGTCTATTCTATCATTATCTTTTCTGATTCTTCTCAAGCTAACTGGACTTCCATGTACTTTTTCTTACTGTGTGTCTGTCCTTAAAACATGTTATGTTGTGGTTTACAGCTGGAGTAGACTTCTGCACCCTTTGGACTAACACATCCAATTTCAGCAAACCATTAACAGTCACCGTTGATGACATGATTGTTAAAGGGGTGGTTGGTCTATTATTTCCTTCCTCAAAAGTGGGGAACTCTGAATCCAGAATGGAATATTTCCGCCACCACTGATGATGGTAACCGTATAAAGTTACATCCTACTTACATACTTTTTTTTTAAAATAATAAAATCTATCCTGTATGCTAGGGCTATTCAACTAAGTTTACTCAGGGGCCACCATTTTGAAACTGGGGATCCTCACAGGCCAGAGCCCTGAGCCCCAGCACAGAAAGATTATTAATACAAAACAAATGGCAATGATCCGCAGGCCACTTGCTAGGCCTCTGTGGGCCGCCAGTTGAATAGCCCTGCTGTATGCTATATGGTGGCTCAGCAGGTGATCTATTTCAAAGCCTGGAAATGAATTCTGCTATCCTGACATAAAAATATACAAAATGCTATAGAAAACAGAACAATATAATAAGAAGTCTTTGTATTTGAACCCACAGAGGCACAGAAATAAGGGCAGATAAAAAAAAAACACACATGGAGAAAGGAGCTAGAGAGTGAAGTTAACAAGACATGGCGGACATGGGGCGAGTTGCATGGAACAGCATGCAGAATGACTTGACATAAGCTGGCTGATGGCCTATGCTTCATTGTGGAATAAAGGGCAGAAGCAGAAGACATTATAAAAGCTAGAAACAGTAAGTTAAGTAAAGGACCCTTTTCCGCGCCTTTAGGCGTACAGGGCATATAGGGCTAGACGTATATTTTTTATAGACCAATCCGCACAAGATGGGTGAAGTGTTCAGCATCACGCCGGCCACCTTTACTTCCTGGGACTACAGCCGGTACCCACTCAAGACTGGTAAACCGGGGAGCCAAGGTTAGTTTTTAAAAAAGTCAGGCTCCACCAGGGAGCGAACCCACGACCTTCTGATCCGCAAGCGAGCGTCTAGCCGCTTCATTACGACGACTCCCATTTTAAAAGTTACAAAGGAAAGGACCCTTTTCCCACCAGTAGCATATTCAGCACATGAACACATTACTGAACACTCTTAAACAAACAAAAATAACCAAGATAAATATTTACCATTGAAAGGAATTTCATTACTAATCTGCTCTTCCAGTAAGACTGCAGTCTCATATGTCCAGCATCGAGCCACATTCCGTTTAGTATAGCCACCCCCGCCTAACACAAGCAATGGCAGGTTGAAGGATTTCACATACTCCACACATTCTCTGCAAAACCAAGTAATTCATTGCTTGTTAACACTTTATGAGTCCCAGTGGGTTTAGCATCATAAGCACAAGGGGTAGTAAAGAGAGAGACAGAACCGTCACATCATGCGTTAGTTGGGTTTCTAGACAGATGCATTCCTTGGGACTCAAAGAGTTCAGTAACCAGTATTTATACTTTCCATTGCATTGGAAAATGACACAAATATTTAAGGAACAGAGAGAAAATAAACACGTCTGATAGGGTTTGTGGGGGATTACCTTAAGAGTACATATCGAAATCCCCATCACTATCCTTGGTACAAAGGCCACATTACAAATGTCAAAGTTCGCTTTATCATCACTCAACACATTGGCAAATATGAATCTCTCTCAGGAATAGTTGATCAAAGACAGAAAAATGCAATGGTAAGGACATATAATAAGATCTACCAGCCTCTCCAAAACAGTACCATAGGGCTCAGTAGAGAGGAAGAGCAGATGAGCTACACCAAGATAACCCTGTTTGCCTGACAGGACGGGCCCGAAATATGCAAACATAAAAGTCCACTGCCTCTGACTGACACAGGTGGAATGATCTGACATGACAATCAACAGTAACTTGTGACCCAACAACACACTGTGTTATGGGATTATAATAATCATCATGTAGCACTGTCATAAAACCTTTCTGTCCCTACTAATCCAATGCCTCATATACTGTCCTTTTCTTTGGAGTACAAGGAAGGCTGAAAGGAAAGATCATGCGAGTTGATCATATATATATATTTTTTTTTTTTCCAAAGATTAGGTAGGTAAACTTTCGCTGTCATCTCTTTTGATACACATGGTAGGGTAAAATGTCACTATTCTTTACTTCCCAAATGAGACCTGGTAACATATGAGCATATGGGAATCTACACGAAAGTTAACTTTTACAATACAATGAAACACTTACCCATGACCTTTAATGCTAAGATTGAAACATCCCAGTCTGTCACTTCCTAATGAGTCTGCACCACACTGTCAGGGACATTGCAGAAATGTACATGTGTTTAAAATGAGCATTGCCACACTCACAGGGACATAGTAGAAATATCTATGTGTTTATAATGAGCAGTTCCACACTGGCAGGGACATAGTAGAAATGTGTAAGTGTTTATAATGAGCAGTTCCACGCTGGCAGGGACATAGTAGAAATGTGTATGTGTTTATAATGAGCAGTTCCATACTGGCAGGGACATAGTAGAAATGTGTATGTGTTTATAATGAGCAGTACTACATTGCAGGGACAGAACAGAAATATCCACGTGTTTATAAGTTAGTTACAGAGTGGCAAGCATCACTTCAGAGTTCCCGGGTAGTAGCATCCTTTAGATGTTTTCTCCAGGTTATGCTGGTATCTTGGGAAATGAGCAGAGAGATAGACTGGTCGGTTCTACACCACATGGCGGTGAACTGATGTATGACAAGCTGGATGTTGTGAGGACCCTTCGAAAGCGAGTGAAAAGTGCAGAGAAAGTGAAAAGTGCCGAGAAACAGACAGATCATTATGGTCTGAAGAGAATGGCACTGTGAAGAGTTATAGGGGGATCTGGCCGACGCTCGACACTCAGTGGAAAGGCAAGATGGATTTACAATCAGATAGTAACTGGTACCATCTGAATTTTAACTCTTCGCTTGCTGCTGAAGATAGGGACGGAGCGCATAGGGGGGTGTCCGGAGTGCTGTGTAGTCAATTCTTAATTCAACTTTCAACATTCAATATTTGCCTATCCTTTACAGGATGTTGAAGAACCAACCAAACCAGGCACTGTTTTGGCTGTATGATACTTTGCTAGGCAATTTTATGTTCAGTAGCCTGCCATTGCTTTCTCAACAGCTGGCTCTCAATACCAATGCAAAGCGATCTGCTGCCAATTTGCCTGCAGTGTTGATCAAATCTGGCACCACGAAATTATGACGCGCAATCACAATGTATAAGCCACAGATGCTGACAGAAGCACATGAATAGGGACATATAAGAAATATACATGTGTCAATAATGAGCAGAACATATTTAACAATTATAATACAGAGAGATGTAAGGGGATTGTCTAGACAGCAAACATGAAAAAAGCTGTCCCTGGACATGGAATGTGTCAACCAATATTTTTTTTTTGGGTGGGTAGGAATGGACATATACATTTAATTTAATGGCCACAGTCATAATGTTCAAAAGAAGTCATAACAAATCCCCTTTGGTTCCCTCTTATGACATTCACAATGGGTCAAGTGTTGTTATTCACTGTTTCCCTTACAAGGGCCATGGTTAACATACAGGTTCCTTTTATCTATTCCCAATTACTACAGTTTCTCACCTTCAAGACTATAGCAATGATCCCAACAAACTTTTCTCTAGATTATGAATGTTCTGTGTAACTGATAACTTTAAATAGGCCACGTGTTTTCAAGATGGCGGCGGGTGGCATTTTTTTGTTTTGTTTTTTTGGGGTGGTTATGATTTCTCTTGGTCTGCTATTTTGTGTGATTTCCAATGCAGGATACATTGTGTTTTTCCTGGGGGCTTTGTGTACTGTGGTTGTGCTATGTCACAGCAGGATAATAACCAACAGTTTTTGCAGCCAATTAGCATGCAGTTCTCGCAATGCTTTTATCACGACAGTCCACTATTTGGGAAAATAGATTCTCAGTGGTGAACTGCAAACTGTCTACAGAGGAAATATGATAAAAACTTTCCCCAAAAATGGAACGGATCAATTCTATTTGTGATGGCAGGAATCGACAAATATGGTTAACTCAATGCCCATGGCCATCACGTTCAACGGAAGTTTTATTCTAACTCTCCTTGGTCACTTCTTTTGACATGCACAATTGGTCAAGCATTATTATTCACTGTTCCCCTTACAAGGGCCATAGTAACATAAGTTTAACATAAGTGACTTTCATCACTCCACAACTGTTACAATTTCTCACCTGCAGGACTACAGCTGTGGGACGGTAGTACTCCATGACACTACTGATAATTGGCTTGAAGACCTGCATGTAGCCTGCAGACAGTTTAGAACATGTACACTTGAACATAAACATTGTCAAAGTGAAACTTAAAAACTGTATGTTCATGGCTAAGATTCTAATTCTTCTTCTGCTGGCATCTGTCTAATTGCTGCTAGGCATTGCAGTTTAACCGATGATAGGCAGCCGATTCAATGCATGCTCGCCTGCCTTATGCTGTGATGTCTTAGACTGTTAGTGACTCTGTCAATATATCTTCTTCTAGGTCTCCCTATGCCTCTTGTTTCCATTTTCAGGTTGTATGGACTGTTAGTGACTCTGTCAATATATCTTCTTCTAGGTCTCCCTATGCCTCTTGTTTCCATTTTCAGGTTGTATGGACTGTTAGTGACTCTGTCAATATATCTTCTTCTAGGTCTCCCTATGCCTCTTGTTTCCATTTTCAGGTTGTATGGACTGTTAGTGACTCTGTCAATATATCTTCTTCTAGGTCTCCCTATGCTTCTTGTTTCCATTTTCAGGTTGTATGGACTGTTAGTGACTCTGTCAATATATCTTCTTCTAGGTCTCCCTATGCCTCTTGTTTCCATTTTCAGGTTGTATAGACTGTTAGTGACTCTGTCAATATATCTTCTTCTAGGTCTCCCTATGCCTCTTGTTTCCATTTTCAGGTTGTATAGACTGTTAGTGACTCTGTCAATATATCTTCTTCTAGGTCTCCCTATGCCTCTTGTTTCCATTTTCAGGTTGTATGGACTGTTAGTGACTCTGTCAATATATCTTCTTCTAGGTCTCCCTATGCTTCTTGTTTCCATTTTCAGGTTGTATGCTCTCACTGCTGGCATTACTCAGTTCATTCTCATCAGATGGCCAAACCATTTCAGTCTTTTGTTTCTCAATTAGCTTAACTATTGACATTACGATTCTAATCTATTCTTTCCTCAACTGATTAATATTAAACATATAAGCCTGTGCACTGTGCCGAGCTATTTCTGACTCAGACTTTAGTTAGAATGGAGCACTTATGGGTTGCTACCAGTGTGCCATGATGTTGATCCTTTGTTCAAACCTCAAACTTTAAACACATATAAGGAAACACAAATAGAGTAAATAAAACCATGGCTGGATCACAGAAAGCAACAAAGGACTGCTGGGGTCATGTATACGTCCTGTAGCAACAAACTTAGGCATTTGCACACAATATTGAATGCTTTTTAAATATTATCGGCAACCTGCCATGTGTAGTGCAGATCTTTCAATGGTGAAGAAACAGCCAGAGATATTTGTCTCCAGTGGATGAACTGTGTCAGGTTGCATGTGAATAGCCTGGTCTACTCCAATTCAAATCTTTTGTGTATACAATTTTTTTTTACCTCTCTGATATCTTGGCTCTATATGCCCCAACTATCACAGTCTATTAGCTATCAAGATGCCAGTAATTAGTTGTGATTTAAACAGATTTTTAATTTTATTATCGCATTTCACTCTTCATTCTCCAATGTTTTGCTTCTTTGATTGATCAAAAGATTCATCATAAGAATTTGTTTTAGAAATCTGTAAAAAGGATTAATGTTTTTATTAATTTAACTTGTACTCCAGACTCTAAAACTATTTAGGATATTACCTTTACTGCTAACATTACCTGTATGTTGCATCAAGAAATAAAATCACATGTATGTGGTGCATAAGAAAAGAGACAACATAGAACATACTAGCATCATCAATGCCCGTCAACAGAGGAACATTCACTGAGTAGTACCGCCCACTCTCTGCTCCAACCTCATACATGTCTCCTGTGAAATACAAGAGGCAGACAATCTCTTTATTTTATATACTATTTTAAATGACATGTTAAAACAAACATTTATGTAGCTTAATTTAATAAGAAAAACAACTGACACAACAGCAAAGAAGCATCCAGGTATATTAATTTTCAGCTCCTAACTACTGGGTTAATTAATCATTATCTTCTTCTTTTTCTGCACTTACTCGTTAGAATGCAGCAAGATCAAATACCATCATCACAAGCACTACATCTCAGAAGATCAGCTACAAGAGCCAAGAGGCCGGCTGCGAAAAATATGGATCGAAAACATTAAAGACTCTACGCCTTCACAGCATGTCAATAGCCAGTGGACGACAACGTGCACTGGATCGCAAATTATTCCTCCCCATGGCACTTAACGGCAGAAGTGGTTTATGATGATGATGATGACTCTTAAAAAGATGGCTGGCACACTGCGTTGTGATTTACAGCTAAGCTGTGATATCTGCATCTTTCAGCCCAACATATCCAAGTTCAGCTAACCTCTAATTAGTCGCCTTTACAACATGCTTGTAAGGGAGTAGTGGTTCTATCCTTTTCTCCCCCAAAATGGATCTCAGAAATCAACAAAGGGAATTTAAAAGGTTAATTTACTTTAAAAAAAACTCACTTCTTCTTCTTCTTCTTAGTATTCAATCGCTGTAAAGTCTGGCAGAAAGTTCTATTGTTTGTCTAATTTTGGACTTTGGTCTTGTCCAGAACTCAAGTTCTGTATGCATGTCTGTTTTACAGATCTGGCTTATTTGTATGCAGATTGTTAGTTTTTAGCCTTTCAGGCAGATGCACGCCAATTTCAAAGAAAATATCCCTAATTAGTCGCCATGTGTGACATGTTTTAAGGAAAGCAGTGTTTCTATTCTTTCTCCCTTCCCTCCCATGTGGCCCCAGAACCAACTGGGAGATGGGGGAGACTGATCAAATAGCGATGAAGCATCAGTGTGTACCAATTTTAAGCTTTAAACAACTCGGTTACTGTTTCAAAAATATGTTAATTCTTTTTCTTATTTTGGGAATTGAGTGTGGCTCCGACAAGAAATGACATTTGAGAGGAAGAGTACAACATGTGTACCACCATTGTGCTACTGAAACAGTCAGCATCTTCACTTTGAGACATTTGCTGCGGCAGACGGAGTATCTAAAAGTATGCACAGTGTGCTAAGATGTTGATTTTTAAATCATTCAAACAATCACCCATTCTCTGAGTGGTATATTAGCAAATATGGCTCTCCAATCATTTCTGCTATCTTAAATACTTACTGATGTAGGGGTTGCTTACATTATTCTTTGCCTGGCTTTTTAAGCATTCTGCATACATCTTTGTCTGTGTGTCTTACTGGGTATTTTCTGTCACAAGGTTATCTTCTCCCTTTTACCTCTTTCATTTGTCTTAAATCGAAATTCCAATATCACTGCAGATGGGTCATCCCGTGATTGCTCCATTACTATGTAAGTGGAAATCACACAAAATGTCTTCACCCTCTCATTTGAAAACTAGTGAAAACCTGGTCAGTTACAGGGTTGAAGCTCAGATCTTGGCTCATCTGCAATCAGTTTCTTCTTTATCCCTATTTCATTACACTGAAAAATTTCAATAATATCTGCAAACTGACACATGCCTCTTTAAAAGAAAATAGGACAGCAGCATTTGTAATAAAAAAATAGGTTATCCTCCGAACAACGGTCCTAAATTATCGAGGTGGAAAATATACCCTAACAGGGCCTCAGTCACGTGACAATTGCGCACTTCCGGGGACTATAATGCCACCGCCGAATTGCGAACTTCCAGCAACTTCCGCCACCTCCGAGAGTATCCCCCACGCCGCTCATGCGGCGTGGATTTGGCCTAAACTAGATGGCTAGGACTCGCGAGCAAATAAAATGAAGGAAGCTGCAGGAGATGCAGTAGCTGCTGCTCGTGAGTCCCAGCCATCTAGTTTAGCCCCAATCCACGCCGCGTGAGCAGCTTGGGGGATACTCTTGGCGGTGGCGGAAGTCGCCTGAAGCGTGCAATTTAAGAGGACAGAAATACGCAATTGACACATGACTGAGGCCCTGTTAGGGTATATTTTCCGCCTCGATAATTTAGTACCGTTATTCGGAGGACAGCCAAAAAATAAAAACAAAGAACAACATTCAATGGTAAAATCCAGGGCAACAAATGCCTGAAATGCAAATATATTGCAGAAAAGCTGTAAACCAGAACAAAGCAAATACATCTTCAGATAAGTAGAAGAAAAAGAAGAGGAAGAGGAGGAGGAAGGTGAAGAAGAAAAAAGAGTAGTAGTAGTACTAGTGGCATCAGCAGCAGCGGTGAGTACTGCAAAGATAAAAACAGTATGAACAATATGCTAACTGACCTGTTCCTGGGAAGAAGTACTGGCCGTATTTGTGAAAAGAGACACTCATGACACGGTCGGTGAGGTAGAAGGCTTCCTGAACACCATCACCATGGTGGATGTCTATGTCAATGTACAAGACTCGAGGGTGGTATCTTCAGAAGAAAGTACAAATATGAATGATTAGACACTTAGAAACTTCTCCTTCCCTTTCTCCAGTTACAAGACTCGAGGGTGGTATCTTCAGAAGAAAGTACAAATATGAATGATTAGACACTTAGAAACTTCTCCCTCCCTTTCTCCAGTTACAAGACTTGAGGGTGGTATCTTCAGAAGAAAGTACAAATATGAATGATTAGACACTTAGAAACTTCTCCCTCCCTTTCTCCAGTTACAAGACTCGAGGGTGGTATCTTCAGAAGAAAGTACAAATATGAATGATTAGACACTTAGAAACTTCTCCCTCCCTTTCTCCAGTTACAAGACTCGAGGGTGGTATCTTCAGAAGAAAGCACAAATATGAATGATTAGACACTTAGAAACTTCTCCCTCCCTTTCTCCAGTTACTTCAGCAAGGTGTCGGTAGTAAAGGGACCCCCTTTTCCACGCCGTCAGGCGTAGTGTGGGTACTGTGCTCTAGACTTACATTTTTATTTATAGACCAATCGGCACCAAGGTGGGCGATCTGGTCAGCATCACACCGACCGCCTTTACTTCCTGGGACTTTCACCTGGCATTCATTTAGGGCTGGGTCAACCTGGGAGCCAAGGTAATTTTTTTAACAATTTCAGCACCATCTGGATTTGAACCCATGATCCACAGCCCAGCATCTAGCCGCTACACCACGGCAGCTTCTAAAGTGTTGGTAGGTGATACAAACACACACATAATAAGACAGGTATGGCATGTGAAATACTTGTATTATAGATTGTATGGTAGTATGCTAAATTATGAATTTGACAAAACAGACTTACTTCAATAGTTCTAAGATGGCAATGACTATATCATTTACATAACAAAAGCCAGACGCCTGTTGAAAAAAAATCAAGATAATATATCAAATTATTAGCGTGAAACATAAAATATAAACTTCAGACTATCTTTGCTGTGGAAGTATGTTTATGTGCATTTACTAGGATTATGTCGGTTGACTGGTTGGTTTCTGACTGCTCTGTTTAAAATTCTCTGGAAGACTGGAGTTTTTATTCTAAAATCCAATTTCCTGGAATTCAGGGCACTCAAGCCTTTTTTTTTTCTATTCGATTCTTGACAAACAAACACAGGGGAGGAAAGTGTTTGTCTCGTTCAAACCACTCCTTTGTTAGCTTTGGTTATATTTTAGACATTTTTTTCTGTGTTGGCTGGGCTTGATTCTTCTTTGTGGCATACGGTTATGTCTGATTCATCATGTCTTTACTAGCATGCTGCTCATGTATGTCGTCATTTGGGTCAGTGAGGGTTTTGATGCAGTACAAAACAAATATTAAAAAATAAAAAAGGAATAGATACAACAGAAAGAAATTCTTTCTAGATCATATTTCCTTGCTTGTCCTGCTAATGAATTGTTTAATTAGTATTTGTACTTCTGGGCCATTGTTTACATGTATCTCAATTAAGCTGAATATCGCACAACAGTACACATAGTGTTGTTTTTTTTTTATCTTTTCTACCCAGTTACCCAGATTTCATTTTTACTGACTTCGGTTTTTTACTGCTGGAATGTTTGTCTTTTCTTTAACTTGGAATTGGGTTCTTGGTGTCAGTAGGGTCTGAAGACTGCAGTCTTTCCACTGTGTGACGAAGACCCAAGACCTGAAAAAAAGCCTGCATTTTTTAGAGCGAGGTTGGTGTAGACTTTTCTCTAGACGCAGTACCAAAGTTCTATTTCCTCAAGAACAACAAAACTGTATTGCAGACCTTTCCTACCAATTTCCAAGTCTAGAAATCAGCAACATGAGCAAGGCATACATACTGAAACCACACACATAATAGGATCATGGGATCAGGCCAGGATTCAGCACAGCACACATGAACTGGCTATAATTAGGCCCACACTAAACATGTTTTCTTCACAGATGTTAGGTATTTCATTTTCAACATACACCAACAGTTTTCATAGGGATTGGATTATACAGTAAGATGATATGAGATCCACTCTAGACAATCAATCAATGCTTAAAATTTTATGCTGAGATCTCTCTTTTTGTATTACTACAATTACCACTAACCTAATAATGCAAGTGTTCACCTAATTAGTATATATTGCATTCACACATTTACAGAAACAATTTCTACCAGCAACTCAGATTGGCAGTTCAGTTTTTCTCAAATTAACATATTTGACTCTGTTGCTTAGAAGTTAGTGAAATCATTTTACAATTCCAAAAACCTTAAGTCAGCATATCATTATCATTAATTTCCTCTTTTGCCGTTAAGCATCGTGGGAAGGAATAGGATGCAATCCGTTGCTTGATGGGTAGCAGTGGGCTATTTTTATTCCATGTTGATTTGTCTATAATGTCATAAAACCCTCCTCTCCTAGAGGAACCTTTATTTTAAATAGCAACATTGTAACTACCAAGCCTGTCGCAAGAGCTGACAAAGGAGAGTAAAAATTAGACTGGCTACCTGAAACTGTAGCATGAGACTGGCTACCTCAAGCTGTAGCATGAGACTGGCTACCTCAAGCTGTAGCATGAGACTGGCTACCTCAAGCTGTAGCATGAGACTGGCTACCTCAAGTTGAAGCATAATACTGGCTACCTAAGGTTGTAGCATGATACTGGCTACCTAAGATTGTAATGAGACTGGCTACCTGAAGAATTACGTGAGAATAGCTACCTCAAGCTGTAACATGAGACTGGCTACCTCAAGCTGTCATGTGAGACGGGCTACCTCAAGCTATAGCATTAGACTGGCTACATCAAGCTGTAGCATTAGACTGGCTACCTCAAGCTGTAGCATGAGACTGGCTAATTCAAGCTGTAGCATGAGACTAGCCACCTCATGTAGCATGATACTGGCTACCTCATGTAGCATGAGACTGGCTACCTCAAGCTGTTGCATGAGACTGGCTACCTCAAGCTGTAGCATGAGACTGGCTACCTCAAGCTGTAGCATTAGACTGGCTAGCTCAAGCTGTAGCATTAGACTGGCTACCTCAAGCTGTAGCATGAGACTGGCTAATTCAAGCTGTAGCACGAGACTGGCTACCTCATGTAGCATGATACTGGCTACCTCATGTAGCATGAGACTGGCTACCTCAAGCTGTAGCATGAGACTGGTTACCTCAAGCTGTAGCATGAGACTGGCTATCTCATGTAGCATGAGACTGGCTACCTGATGTAGCATGAGACTGGCTACCTCAAGCTGAAGCATGAGACCAGCTAACTCAGGCTGTAGCATGAGATTTGCTACCTCAGGCTGTAGAATTAGACTGGCTACCACAGGCTGTAGCATGAGACTGGCTACCTCAAGCTGTAGCATGAGACTGGCTACCTCAAGCTGTATCATGAGACTGGCTACCTCAAGCTGTAGCATGAGACTGGCTACCTCAAGCTGTCATGTTAGACTGGCTACCTCAAGCGGTCATGTTAGACTGGCTACCTCAAGCTGTCATGTGAGACTGGCTACCTAAAGCTGTAGCATGAGACTGGCTACCTCAAGCTGTCATGTTAGGCTGGCTACCTCAAGCTGTCATGTTAGACTGGCTACCTCAAGCTGTCATGTGAGACTGGCTACCTAAAGCTGTAGCATGAGACTGGCTAACCCAAGCAGTAGCATGAGACTAGCTACCTCAGGCTGTAGCATGAGACTGGCTACCTCAGGCTGTAGCATTAGACTGGCTACCTCAAGCTGTAGCATTAGACTGGCTACCTCAAGCTGTAGCATGAGACTGGCTACCTCAAGCTGTAGCATGAGACTGGCTACCTCATGTAGCATGAGACTGGCTACCTCAAGCTGTAGCATGAGACTGGCTACCTCAAGCTGTAGCATGAGACTGGCTACCTCAAGCTGTAACATGAAACTGGCTACCTCAAGCTGTAGCATGAAACTGGCTATCTCAAGCTGTCACCTGAGACTGGCTATCTCAGGCTATAGTATGAGACTGGCTGCAATCAACTTGAGCTCTTTTAGTACTGATAGTTTCAAATGAGAAGCCAAAGTAGAGAAACAACCAGGGTGAAAAATCATGAAGGGATAGAACCACACACACACATCATGCAATGTTTGGGGTCGAAAGAGTTAACAACGAAACCCCCACCAAAATTACCAAGTCTGCAAAGTCTTGGTAAGTTAGTTCAGGGCCTATGCTTTAATCACAGGCTGGTGGCAGAGAAGGAATATTAACACAAAACAACGCTGGCTGATTTATTAGACAAACAATAGGACAATATTTTAACTGGTCAACAACGAGACAGTGCATTCTTAGCATCCATCGAGAAAAGGTAATACTGGAGGGAGAGAATTAGAGATAGAGATGAATAATTCAGGGGGAAAACACAAAAGACACTACAAGAGGCAGGACAAGGTTGTCGTGGTTTTGTTCTCCACTTGGAATAAACGGAGGAAGAAAAGAGTTGAGATAAGTTGAGCTGATTCATGAACCAACTTCACAACCTTCAGGACATTCCCATAAGTGCTATGGCACCATCCTCAGTAGCCAGTGCATAGTTCCACTGCCTTTCCTCTCAACGTAAGAAGAAAAAGAGGTGCAAACCAAATATATCATGAAAATTACCTCATACTTCTTGGCATGATGAAGGCCACCAGACCAGTTGATTGCAATATCACATTGCTGAAATAATAATAATTTTCGAAGTTAAAAAGATCTCAGTGTATACTATTAAAAAAAAGAACTCAATTCACAATAAATTAAGAGAAACTGGACATAATTTGAGGTGGCAAAAATATTTTCTGCTCATCAAAAACTTTTAAAACATCACAACTCAGCTTGAATGTTGAATTAAAAATCGACATCACAGAACTCGACACTCCCCTAAGCACTCTGTTCCCATCTTCAGCAGCTAGGAAACAGTATCAATAACGATGATACCGGTAACTATTTGTATATCTGTCTCAACTTTCCCTTGAGTGTTTAGCATCGACCAGATCCCCGGTAACTTCCCGCAGCACCATTCTCCTCAGACCATAATGTTCTATTTTTGCCTCGGCACTGTTCACTCCCTCCAAAAGGGCCTTCACAACATCTAGCTTGTCAATTCACCACCAAGTAGTGCATAACTGGCCAGTTCGAAGCATGGGACATCCACAAATACATTTTAATTCATCATCATCATGTAGCAGATAGTTTGCAGGTCATCAATCCCATCACAGCCTGCTGAATGAATCTCAGTATCTTACAAATTCCACATCCTTATATAGTTTCTTTTTGCCCAAAAAAGGTGTTTCCAGTATCCATTTTCATGCTAGCGGAACTCCCATTTCTTCTTCTTCTAAGAGCAATGCCTTCCGGTACAGTACTTTCCAAACTGTTGCATTTCATATGGCAAAAGTATATCAGTGGCAGACACATGATACAGGGTTGGTGGAAGAGCTGTAAGGATCTTCTATGTATTCTTTCTAATGTACTGCATAAGTTGATCTAAGGATGCTTCTGATGCTGTCATTCCATAATTCTGTGGTCTTCCCCTTGTTCTATATTTATGTTATTTCTTTAGTGTGGCTCTCTGTGGTACACAGATGACAGCATTATAATAAAGGTCCTTTTTCTTTCAATTATTGAGTTATGAGTTAGATTATCTTCACAGCACTCCGGACAAATCCATAGGTACTCAGATTCCCCTCTCAACATATTCATCAGCGGTGTGCGGTTAATAGTACCAGTCCTATGTTGGTTAACAAGATTTCAATTATTATTAAACTGCACAAAATTAGCATACAAAGTTCAAAGAAAAGAGGTAAATATACTCACATTATTGTTCAACTTGACAGCTCCCTCAAGTGACGCACCAGTGTACATCTTACAGAAATCAAACATTCCATCAAACACAGGGCTGAAAGTAAATGTGTAGGATATATTTTTAGGTGAGACAATTGTCTAGGGTCAACGATAAAGTTATTTTACAACTAAGGCCTAACATGAGAAAACCCAACAAGACAAGGAAAAAGATGGCCAGGCAGATAACAGACCCATGGTGATTCTTCGTAAGGACTTTTTCAGGACTCACAGTCGCATACCAAAGCAGTGGAAACCTCACCGACATAAACCTCGAATGGCATGGGTGGCAAAGAAATAAATAAAAGGCAGGACCTTCCTGCCACAAAGACAAATATAAGAAAAATATCCTAAACCAGAATTATAACCAACGCTTACAAAGAAGTAGGTTGAACGTCAACATTTCGGTTTTTATTTTTTATTTTAAATGAATGAACAAATGAACAACACTTATGTGTTAAAAGTAACTAACAGACAATGTACAGAATAATCCATGCAAAGATGCCATTTCATCAGGTGAAGAACACTCTGTATAACTAATCCCTGTCCAAGGAAGTTAGACATGAGTTTTGAGTTGTATACTTTCCAAAGTACAATGTTTCCCCCCAAAATAAGACCCCATCTAAAGATAAGACCTAGCATGATTTTTCAGAATGCTTGTAATATAAACCCTTCCCCAAATATAAACCTCAAGGTCATCAGCCAGACAAAAGAATTTGGTTTGTTAGTTGAAACACACAACAGAAACATTTAATTTAATTATAAAAACATGAATGTATAAATAACTATAAATAATATTTACTGACATTAATGCTTAAATAAATGTAGAATTTTGTACATGAAAAAATAAGACATCGCCTTAAAATAAGTCCTAAGGTGTCTTTTGGGGCAAAAATTAAAATGATCAAGTCTTATTTTTTCTTCCTCTGAATTGTGAACCTAAATTAAAAAAGACTTGAGACAAAGACTAAAATATTAGATAACACCAGACCAGATGTTATTCGTCCATCATGAGTGATGAAAACCACTTTCATCCAAAGTAGTCATGATCAAAGATTATGAGTACAAAGGTGGCTGATTAGTCCAATATGAGCCAGGAAAGTTCTTGAGCAATGCAGACAACAGATGGAAGCCGCAGTAGGTGTGGGATTGACCAGACCAGATACTGTTTCAAGGGCTGTGAAATGTTGGAATTCACATATACTAGGTCAATGCACTCAAACAATAGTTCCTAAATAACTAATCTCAGTCTTTATTATGTTGTCAAATTAAATCTGGCCAGATGCAGGAATGAATGCTAAGCAAAGACACGTCTTTCTTAGGATTTGCATAGATATATATTAAAAGTGGCGCAGTTAGTTTTTTTGTCAATGTGTATCAAATGCATCTTTAACTTATTTCACTTTAAATTTTTTTCTTGGGAGGGCTGGGGTTAACTTCTTTTGCTGAGAGGTTTGCTAATTTAATTTGTCTCTTCCTTAGGATTTCGATGTGCGATCTAGTAACATAAGCAGACGTCAATATCTCAATCTTTATTATCTTCTCTGTTGACAATATTCACAACATTCTTCTCAAATACCACTGCTTCACTGACTTTACTCTCAGCGAACATTACAAATGAAACAACGTGAAGAACAATAACTTACCAGTCTTCTCCGACATTGTACAAAGACAGGTATTTTGTGAAGTTCTGTACATTCTGTGGCGTGACTGAGCTTAAGAACTGTATATAATCATCAGAATGGAAACGGCACATATCTCGCTCAGTTGCCTGGTAGGGACGATACAACTGTGGAGCAAGCACAAGAAACATGAATAAATTAGAATAAAACAAACAATAAAAATGACCACTCCAGCCAATCCACTGCAACCAAGTGCGACAAAAAAAGTCATAATCTTAAGAAAAGAAAGCAACTCATGAACTAATAATGACAGACTCAATGAGCATGCTTAAGAAGTTCTAAACTTAAACTAGAATGTGATGACAGCATCCAGACATCCCGCCTCAAAAAACTATTTTGGCTTTACACACTGGGACATGCCAAAGTAACAAGAAATGAAAGAGCTGACAGACTGGTCATGTCAGCAAAGGTTGGTGGAGGAAGATGTATGTGGCGGCAGACATAAAGAATGAGCTCCGTTCCAGGGACGGTGAGACAAAGGAGTCAGCAATGATGAACCGCCTGTGGAAATGGGTATTGAATGAGAACAAGCATACAGAAACCGGCTGCAGGGCAAAGAGGAAGCTATGCCAGATAACTCCTGCTGGCAAGGTTCAGTAAGAAGACACTAAGGGGACTGCTTTATCGGAGGACGGAGCACAAAAGGGAAGCGTTCTCTAACTATTTATTGCTGGCAGCTATACAAATCTTTCATTCTGAGGCCATACAAAAAAGTGGCTGCTATCATGAATATGTAAGTTAAGCAATTGTGTGTATTCAGGTCTGTACATGCGGTTTTGTTGATGTATGTAAAGTGCTGATTAAGGCTCTGTGGTCGGAAGGTTAACTTTCCGTGAAGCTCACTGATTTCCTTTTTGTCATATGATTAAGAGTATACTCTCTCTGGATTGACTAATAAATGTATAGTATGTTGCATGGTACAGGCCAAATTGAGCATACAGAGCTAGATCTATATATTATAAGACCAACTGCCACTCGGCGGGTGTTGTGGATGGTTAGCATATGCTGGCTGCCTTTACTTCCCAGGACCTTAACCTGGTGCCCATTTTAGGCTGGGTCGATCTGGGAGCCATGGTACTTTTTGAAAAAACACCCAACTCGATGCAGAATTGAACTCCTAACCTTTGGTCAAGTGTCTAGCTGTTACACCATGGCAGCTCCCTTGCATAGTACAGACAGAGTTAATTGACTTAAAGGAGTACCTTCATTTTCTTGTGCAGTCCATATCGCAGTACCAGGCTGTGAGTAAGCGAGATTCTGTGTGGTTTCATGGGATGTCCAGGACCTAGATAACAATTAACATCAAATAAAATCTGTGTGGGTGGTGTGGTGTAAGTCTGTGTGTGTGTATGCTGTGAGGGTGTAAGTTTGTGTGCATGCGTGAGGGGAAAGATTGTGTCTGTGTGAGGGAAGAGTATGTGTCTGTGTGTGGAGAGGGTGTGTATTGTGTGTGTGCATGTTTGGGTTTGTATGTGTAGGTAAATGCGTATCTAATTTTTCTGCATATATATTAATATTATTTGTTATGCAATATCAGCGACATCTAATACTGTGATCTGCTTTACAGTCACAGTAATACTAATTTGAAAACAATAAATTGAGGTTAACACTGCTTCCTTTATAAATGCCAAGACATTACCCAAGAAATTTGTGAAATCATCAAAATGGAGTGTTGAATTTTATGTAAATTTTGAAAAAGGAAGACCTAGTTTCATGACAGATAATTTCATGAATTAACTCTGTCACCTTTATTTTATAAATAAACACAGAAGCTGTTTGTCACAACTTAAATTTACTATGACTAAAAATTACCTTCTCTGTTTTATCTACCAAAGCTGCTGTTGATTATTGATTATTTCTACTGAACCAAATTAAACTTAAGTTTCTTCCAAATCAAAACTTTCTTGCAAGGATTTAACCAGACCTTATAAAATTGGCACCTCACTTGATTTTCATTTGAAGTTGATGAAGAATGGGAGATAGTTAATAATATTATTTTTGGCTATCCTCCGAACTTCGGGCACTAAAGATGGCGGCCGTAAAATATCCTATCGACCCACAGTCACATGACTTAATTTGTGGTTCTCCGGCGACTACTGCCACCGCCACGAGGTCCTGGCGGCGTGGATTGGGGCTAAACTAGATTGCTAGGACTCACAGCAAAACTTCAGGAGATGCAAGAGCTGCTGCTCTTGGGTCCTAGCCATCTAGTTAAGCCCTAATCCATGCAGCGTAGGGGCCTCATGGCGGTAGTCGCCAGAAAACCGCAAATTAAGTCGCCGGAAGTGCGCAATTGACACGTGACTGTGGCTCGAAAGGATATTTTGCGGCCGCCATCTTTAGTGCCCGAAGTTCAGAGGACAGCCTTTTTTAAAAATCATATTAGAACAACAGTGGGTAAATAAAATATAAAATGTGGGGGGGGGGGGGGCATAGTAAAGAGAAATGCAGTTTAATATTACATATAGTGGCTCTCCTCCAAACTTTTACCCCCGCATTATGGCGGCTTGAAATATCCGTTCGGGGCTCAGTCCAATTAAAAATTCGGACTCTGCCAAGGAACAAATCGCGGCAAAATTAGGATTACTTGACAATTTCAAGAGACGCAACATTGCAGACGATAAAAGCGACCGTTGACAGTTTTGAGACATTACAGACGATGAAAGCGATATGGCGCTCCCACGCAGATTAGCAATAGGAAGAACAGTATTGAGGATTTAGCAGCGGTAGATGTCAGACTTGTCGGCATGCGCAAAACGCGATTAAATTCACCGCCAAGCGTATCCGCCGCGCCACTACGCGCGGCGCAGATGGGGGGGGGGGAGGGGTAAACTAGGTACCTGGGACTCACGAGCAAAGTAATTAGAGGAAGTTGAAGGAGATGCGGTGAGTCCCAGCCATCTAGTTTATCACATATCCGCGCGGGGATACGGTCGGCGGTGAGGCATAGTCACAGAAACAGGTCCGCAAGTAACATATCACTGAGACCCTGTTAGAGCATTTGTTTCGTTTTACCGAGCCGATCCTAGATTTGCCGCGATTTGTTCATCGGTAGAAAGTCCGACCAAGGAAAGTGTCAACAGTCGCTATTATCGTCTGCTACTATCGTCTGCAGTGTTGCGTCTCTTAGAATTGTAAGGTAATCAGAAACAATAGGAAACAGGTCCGCAAGTAACATATCACTCAGACCCTGTTAGAGTATTTCATTTGTTTCATTATACAGAGCCGGCATATTTTTAATAGAACTGATATTTCAGGCCGCCATAATGAATAATGCGGGGGTAGAAGTTCGGAGGAGAGCCCATATAGTTATTAAATATATAAACATTATAAAAGTAAAACTGCGTCTTTGACTCTTTCTTAAAATTATTTTTTTCTTTCCAAAGAATGAAGATCAGGGTCAGGTGACAAAGTTACAGTCACTCATCACTGGGTGTGAGAATGAAATACAGAGAAATAATTTACACACACTTTTATGATGTATCTAGGGACTATAGTTTCGACAATTTGCGGTCTTTTCGGCAATTTCCGTTACCCGGAAACCGTTCAGAACTTGTTCGGGAAATCTCGGCTGGTTTCCGTATGGGTCCAAATCTCTCATGAAATTTTGCCATTGGTGGGAATTTGGACCAGCTATAAATAGCTGAAAACAGCGTGGGGGAACCCGATTAACAGCGCATGTCTACGACAGCCGGACGTCCTCTGTTTTTCTGTTAGTCATAGTCATCAGTTTGATTAAAAATAGCGGTAAATTCGAGGTTGGCTTTAGGCTTTAACTGTTACTCGTCCTGGTATTGCTAGGTAAATTTGAATTCTCCGTCCAATTTTACATTTGTGTATAAAATTTCTTTCTGGACGGTGGCTAGGTAGATGTAGGTACTACGTTTTCTTCGATCGATCGGGCACTTCCGGAAACGGAACGGGCTGGGTTGCTACCCATAACAATGTCCGTAAGTTGTCGGTGAATTTTTTCACGATGATGATTCGTTATACACATTCGGGAAACCTCGGGGATTCCGACGAGCTATATATAGCCCAAGTCAAAGCAAATTGGTTGACTTTCACATTCCTCGTGGTCTGAAAGCATTTGATCGTGTTTTGCTACTGCCGATCGTGTTTGAATATATAGCGGTAAGTAGCCACATTATTTGATAGCGTTCAACGCATTTAAACGTAATATTCTTGTAATTATTCGATTCTCTGTCCAATTTAACTTTAGTTTGTAAAATTTTATTAGTATATTCTATGGGGGTGATTTGCAGTGGGATTTTCAAGATGCGATCCTGAAACCATCGTGGGTGAAGAAATTGGCGTCCATCTTGTTGCTTTAGAATAAGCCTTCAGCGTGTTTTAATTATCGGTAGTTATTTAATATACAGTTATTTTGTAGGCTCTTAAAACTGATTAAAACTGTGAAATGTATTTTTATCATCCATAATTAAGTCTATTTAGTCAGTTTACACCCAACGACGTGATAGGGGAGATATACAGAAATGGTTTTTAATTAAATCAGACTATCTGAGGCGAAAAAGGAAAAGGCCATTTTGTTACTTTTGTGGAAGGCGTTACTGCAGTTACCATAACAACAGCTGTCTTTTATGTGGTATTTATTTTAAGAAGTTATATTTATTCTTAATACAGATAATGCATTATCAATATTTTTATAGTTATGTTATAGTATTTAATTATTAAATTTGAAATTTTTTTTAAATAAATATTTTAAATGATACATGATATAATTATTATAATTTAATGAATTTATTATTATAATTATATATATATATATATATATATATATATATATATATATATATATATATATATAGTATAGTACAATAATACATACATACAATACATATATTTAATTATATATATAAAATATACTACACACTATGTGACACATACAGTTAATAGATGTAAAAACAATGTAATTACTATTACAATATTACACCACCCCCCTCCCTTTTCCCATATGATGTTGCATACGCATATAATATGCTTATATAAATATTACTTTCTTACACAGCTCACCATGGAAAATAAAACAGCTTCTGATATGAGAGCATATCTGTCATCCTTTGAGCCAGAGTACCCAGTTAAGAAAGGCTATATAGCCCGACTGATTGTAAATGAGAAATTGACAACTGTAGATATTTGCAGGATGATCAAGGGCATGGTGCAGGTAGCTGAACCAGACAAGCAGATACATGAGGGGAGAGTGAAGGCGTGTATAAATGATATTAAAAGAAATGCTGCCAAAAAAATGAATTACACCAAGCAGTGGGCTGATCTCATCAGTTTTAACCAGCAGCCATTTTTTGTATCCTTTTTGTCTGGAGAATCATTAAGTTCTTCTTCTGCAACATCTACATCAGTTGTGCAGCCTGACCATACATGTGCACCACTCATACAAACTGATCATTCATCCCCACCACTAATTCAGCCAACTGATCATTCATCCCCACCACTCACACCTGTGACACCAGCTGACCATACAACTGATCATGCGCAACACACTTCTGCAACACCATGGATTGACGAGTTACCCTTTAACTCCATTCATAATCATAATGTTTCATTTTCTGTTTCACTGATCTCCAGGTCACCATCACCAAAGCGTTTAAAAAAAGACTGTGACAACTGTGTAGCTAAGCAACGGACAAGTCTGAACATGCTGAAGGAGAACAGGCACTTGCGTTTGCAGATAAGAGCACTTAGAATTCGACATAGAGAGGAAAAGAAACAGATGTCACTGAAAACATTGAATTTGACAATAAAGAGGAAATCGGCATCAGCTGAACTTTGGAGAGTCAAACATTCAAATTTGAACAAACAGTTCCAAGAACAGGAAATGCGGCACAGGAAAAAGGAAATGTCAATTAAAGCAAAACACGAGGAAGAAATAAAGGAACTGACAATTGCCAAAGGAATATTAGAAAGCAAACTGAAGCAATCTGAGAAAAAAAATCACTGATTTGGAAAAGAGGAACAAGCAATCGAAAGAACAGTTTTTGTGAAATCCAAAAGAAGATTAGCAGTGAATTAGACTATGTAAAAACCAGACTGCAAGAGGAGACAGATCGAAGTAAATACTGGGAAAACGAAGCAGTGGAACAGGCAGATTCTAAGGAAGACAGTGAAGACAGTGACAACATTGTTACAACAAAAGAGGCAGGGAAGTATGATTATAGATTTAGGCAGTGTGTTTATGACTTTTTAATGTGTAATGTTAGTGTTGGGGAATATTTCTCGTTTGTTGTCTTCTGTTGCAGGGATAATTTTTGGTAAAGTTTTTTCTCAGATTCCATGTGTGACTACAATAGCACAGATGGCTTACGAACTCGGGGTGCTTGCTAGCATTCAAGCTGGCCAGATGCTGCACGAGTGCGATCTCATCACATTAGCCTGGGATTCCACAACAAAGGCAGGTATACATTATAACGAAGTTCATGTGTCCCTCAAAACAATACTAGGTAGGCAATCATTAACTCTCAATATTAGACCCATTTCAGGTTCATCAGCAGAGGAGCTGTACCAGCATGCAATGGAAGCCTTATCTGATGTCTGCGAGATCTACTGTGCCGCCTTCCAGTTACCCGCAACAGCCATCCTGGAAGAAGTGAAAAGCAAACTGCACAGCACCATGAGCGACAGAGCTGCTGCAAACCACCGAGTATCTGAACGACTCAAAGAGGACTGTGGAGACGGAAAAGACAGCAGAAAGATGTCCAGAGGTTAGACAAGACACAAAGAGATGTACATGAAAAACGATTATCAGACTTTGTGCGTACAGAGTCAGTGTTGTCAGTTCTCGACCTAGAGCTATTTAAAGATGTAGAGTTGAACACAAAGGAGAAGTTGAAAAATATTCTCAACAACGCTAATGCACTGCCAGGTGTGTTACTGCGACACGTCTGGTATGAAGAAGGAGTAGACACTGTCTATATTGAAATGGTAAAGAGCGTGAAAGAAAAAGACAGCCTGAAGACAGTAATAGAGCTGTATTACTGGAAGGAAGATGAAGGACCAACAGATGCCACCTTCAAGATGACTATGACAGAATTTCTGGTAGACTTTGCCACAAAAGAACTGGCATTTTATGAAGATTAAAAATAAAACATAAGTACTTTAAAAAAGAAAACCGATTTAGAAATCATAGAATATTTTTAAAATAATCAAAACCTTATTTTTGGAACATACAAATTTATATCAGAATTGTAATTTTATTATAAAGCTGTCTCAAAGTTTTATTTTAGTTGACGCTCAGTAAAGATAAAGGCTTCTAAGAGTGCAAGTCATCATCACGCTCGCTTGTCAGCCCAATCGACAGCAGCTTTCGTCGGCAGTCAAACACAGACTAATGGACATGGTGAGTAGCTATAACGACATGTTTAATTGTTTAAACAAAATGTAATACTTTATAATAATCATTACATACCATCTGGGACGTATGAACATATATCAGCTGTGAATAGATTTCAAACCCTCTTTTTTCAGGTGTATATTTTGCAATTTTAATTGAACTATTTTCTGAAAAACCCCACTTAATCATGTGCTAATAGTTACATTCCTTCTTTAAGAGCCAAGGTAAACAATGTAAACCCAGTGAAAACTTGATCATTACAGACAGACGTGTGAGTTGCTTTGTGGGCACTCCAACCAGAAAGGAATGTGGATACATGCAGGATTTGTTTGAAAAAAAAAAAAACATGAAATTATTGGCTTTTGACGATTGCATATCTTAGCTGTCACAACACATACACAATACTGACAATGGTAATCTTTTTTTTTCAAATCGTTTGTTTTGTTAAGTGCATTTTTTAAATTGTCTACTATTATATGTGTATGTTAATTACTTTTTTTTTTTTTTGTGTGTTTAGATTGGCATTGGATAGCAGAAGCAAATGATGTAATCCTTATGCTGGGATATGAAATCTTTCTAAAGTACCGGAGAGTTTTGGGAAATGCCTTTATGGTCTCATAACTCGGTGAAGGGAAAATCCCAACTGCAGTTCTGCGCGGTAGAGGATGGGCAAACACAGCTCTGGGGACCGAGTATCCACCGGAATAAGTGGACAACTCTGCACTTAAGCAGAGCAGGGCACTCACTTGTCCTGACAGTCAAAAATTGCTGTCAAAGGTAGAGGTAAAAGAACCCCCATGTGGACGTGGAAGGCACTTTGACAGTATGCTTTATAAATAAAAATAATCAAATGTTGAAATAAACCACACACAAATTGTTTGTTCATTTGTGATGACTGGATTATTCAGAGTGAGTCAAGGGGGAAAATGTCAGTGTACTTCAGATTTGTAAAGATGGTTTCGCTTACTTAGTGACAATGGTTATTTTTAGTTAATAATTAGTGGCCAAAATAACATAAAATAAGGGGGAGGGGAGAAGCACATGATACATCACCAGGACTAAGGGAAAAAAAATTCATCTGTTCCGAAATTTGATGGTGATTGTGAAAAAAAAAAAAAAAAAAAATTTTTAAATTAATTAATTAATATAAATATTCAATAAGCGACCTAGTTCTAATTTGAGCTTGACATGTGCTTATGTCTTTAGCACATTTAAAGCTTTTTTTCTTTTTCCAATAAACGTACCAAGGAAAAAAAAATGTAAAGACCGTTATAAAGTTTATAAGAACATATTGAGTAATGATTATGATAAATGGCGGCCATTTTGAATAATTATTAGTCAATTATTAGTTGATATTACGTAACTACTAAAAATTTCATCTTTATTCAGTTAGAGATTGTTGTCCCGAATCCAAAAATATATGGTTTCTAGGGTCTTTTTTAAATACTTTTTAAGTAAAAGCACTTTTTAAACACTCCTCTAAGACTTACGATTTTAAGGCGACAAGTTTTATCTCACTTTTATTTTTTCTTCTTTGTTCATTTTTTCCACAAAAACTTCAATAACTTGGCTTAGAATTGACATACAGGCATGAAAGAGGTACCGTTGGAAAGAGCTTTTCAATATGTATGCAGCTGTACTGGTTTTATAAGGAAAAAATGATTTTGAAAATTTGACTAAAGTGGCTAGTAGATGTACAGTGACATTTTTTAGGCAATCGCTGGCTCAGCCAGTGGCTGTGTCTCATTGCCTGCCATCTTGTCCAATGACAGTCCAATGTAAACAAAGCCGATACAGAACTGCGCAGTAGGTTGCACAGTAAAAAACTTCTTGTTTCTGGGTCACAAGTTTTAGCGGCTGTTTCTTACATCTCATATCCACAAAACCTACATATCTCAGCTCAGAAATGACATACAAGCCTAAATGAGGTACCATTGGAAAGAAATTGTTTACAGCTATCTAACTGTGCTGGTTTTATTGGTGTAGAGGGCATTTTAAAAATTTTACTGAAGTAGCTAATGTATCATCGGTTCTACTTCTATTTCTGCACAATATTTTCTTTTGTATATATATATATATGTATATATATATATATATATATATATATATATATATATATATATATATATATATATATATATATAACTATTCCCTTTCTTCTAGTAAGGAGACAGGACCTTAGCACTTAGCCGTTTCTACCTATCGATATTAGGTAACTCAACTTGTGCTCAATAGTCAATACTGTTTTTAAAATTAATATGAAAACTCAAAACAAACACAACACACCATAATGGAAGTTCCCTACGTCAGGATCATAAAAGTATGCAACAGTCGACATTTCACAAGGAAGATAAGCACATCAGTCAAACAGTGGAACTGTAAATTCACAAGTCCCTAGTAAACATTCATAAAATAATGTTTATATGACGAGTCGTAAATTTTGGCCTGATCCATATTTTTAGCGTCTTTAGGAAATTTCCAAATTTACAATAGTTTCCCCTTGGTGGGGTGGCAGAAAATTGAGGGGAATGGCAAGATGTGGGGAGTTATGCATTTATAATCTTATCCAGAAAAAATATTGTTTTTCTTATAATCAGTGCCGTGTGCCGTACTGTTAGCATTTTGCTCAAAACTCCAGTTCTAAAACAATAACAAAGTCCAGAAGCAGACGGACAACGAGAACTTTTCTTCCGTCGGAGTTTACAGCTGCAATTAATTGGTGAAGGCGAAGAAGAAGATTCCCCATAAAGGATGCCCATGTTACTAAAATAGGTTTCCTTAAGGACATCCTCCAGATGTTACCCAGTCCCGCAAGCCTTTGTAGACTGAGCATTGAAAAAAAAACCTTTCACAATCACCATCTTATTTACAGCTGGTGAACGCGAAGAAGAAGAAGAAATCACCATCTTATCGGAAGCTGAAATATTTTGGTCATATCAAGCGCCACAACGGATTGGAAAAAACTATAGCAGAAGGCATGGTACCAAGAAGTAGGGGCAGGGGCCGACCGACACGAAGATGGGCACAGGATATAAGTGACTCCTTGAGTATGAAAGTATATGAGGAAGGAAAACTGGCGAGAGACCGAGTTTCTTTCAGGCAGACTGTGATGAGAGCGACGTTCTGCAAAGGACCTGATACATGATGATGATGATGTCTTAAGGTGGGCGGGTCGTGCTAGTCACACTCGCCATCGACCGTGAGTCCCATGCTTCCTCGTTGGATAATTTAAAACATTCGTCTGGAAAGACGGAAAGATGCCAGCAACAACATTGGCTCGAACCCGTGTGTATCATTAAAGCTTTCAACTTGTAAATCGTAAAGGGTGTTTTCCAATCTATACTGCTCTCAGCTTTCTCTTTTAGCGATATCAATAATTCCACACGAAGCTTGGCTGCAATGGATTGCCAACACGCCCAGTCTCTTGATCTGGTTGTACACTCTCTCAGACTGCTGCCCTTCCATTTGTATCGATGCCTACCTCTTGCTCTCTTGCCCTCGAACTTTCCCCCCAGTATGGTTTTTAAAAGAGCGTTATGTATTTTAATGTGGCCAACGTCTCTGATGCCTTCCGCTGGCTTGAGAATTAGATGTACACACATGCCGTGATTGTAACTGACTCACAAAGCATGCTGAGAAAGGTGAAGACTTCAAAGATCCTAGGTAGTTAACATCCTTTGGATATTTTCTCCAGGTAATGCCGGTGTCTTGGGAAATGAGCAGGCAGATAGACTGGCTGGCTGTGCACCACTTGATGGTGAATTGATGTATGACAATGTATATTGTGAGAGCCCTTTGGGAACGAGTGAACACTGCGGATGCGCAGATAGATCATTACGGTCTGAGGAGAATGGCACTGGAAGGAGTTACCAGGGGATGTGATTGACGCTCAACACTCAGGGGAAGGATGAGACGGATATACAATCAGACTACTAGTGCCATCGGAATTGGAACTCTTCGCTTGCTGCTGAAGATGGGGACGGAGCACTTATGGGAGTGTCCCGAGTGCTGTGGTGTCGATTCTTAATTCAACAATCAACATTCCTTGTTTTTTGCCATTCAGGATGCAACTTGTGGAGTCGATGGCATGACCAAACCTTAGCAGCTCAGAGGCAAAACTGATACCAAAAGAAATGTGACTTAGTGTACTAATTGCCTGTATCCCCATGTGGGTTCCATGGGGGGGGGGGGGAGGGGGTGTTAAAATGTCGTAAAAAAAGAGTAATTTGGGTTGTTTCCTTTAAGTCGCAGTGCAACTAACTATCTGAGAGGCGAGGAACTAACCACTTGCAGGTCAATAAGCCAGATCTGAATAAAAAGGATATGTACGCATAACTCCTTAGGCGTTGCGAACGCGCTTCGTAATGTCAGGGTGCCGGGTTCGATCCCAGCTGCGGACGATTTGTCTTGCGTTGGTTTCGACAGTGGTACTGAGCGCTGACCGTTCAGCAGCAATGGCAAACTACTGAACGTAAAATTTGCCTAGAAAAACCACAACAGCCAAAAAATGCTGGGGTTGGTTCTGCAACGTCCTGTAAAGGATACGCAGCTAACTTATTCTCATAACTTAAGTTGACTTGTCATCCCCTTGTGGGATGCAATTTTTCTTTATTTTGAAGCCTAACCCTGGCTGTTGCCAGGGGACGCAATATAGGCTGACGGTTGAAAGCCGTTTCAGGGACCTCTCCACGGGTGATCCTCATCCATATGATGGCACTTTGTGTCACCGGGTGTTTATCACTCTGTGTGATGTCCTGGTGGGGTATCAATTTACTTACTCATAACTCTAGTTCTGGAATTTGTCTTAAGTTCAGAAGTGGACGAATAACCAAAAATTTCCGCCGGAGTTTACATCCGGTGAATACGAATAATAATGAGACGAAGAAGAGGAAAAAGAAGAAGTATTCTCAGCACAGTGTAGGTAGGTCGGGTCGGGGAGGGGGGGGGGCCTTGAGACTTAGGATTTAGGGCCTCCAACTTAGGGCAGTTCCCATGGGCTGTGCAGGTTAGGAGTTTATTTCCCCATGACAACAGACAGGTACAGCTGGGTAAAAGTCCACCAAGGCGGTCTAGACTTGGGCGCGTAAACAGGTTTTGAGGTTTTAAACAACAGATCAACATTATGGCACACGAGTGCCCATAAGTGCTCCGTTCTTCTTCTAACTGAAGTCTGAGTCCGAAGAAGTACAGCAAAGTGCACAGGCTCTGTAGCACCAGCGAGGATCCTTAAAATACTTTTAAACTCAAATTTGTGCACTGGCAGCGCCGTTAGGCTACTCTTTTCGATTTCCAACTGCCAAGGGATTTCTTACGTGCGCAACAATGCACACGGGCGTCCGATCTCACTACCCAGAGACAATGGGGAATTACTAGAAGTCTAAGTCCACGTGAAAGAATCCCAGCCCTTACTGGGGATTGGAGCCGGAACCTCTAGCACTTGGGGCGGACACCATGCATCGAGACAATGCAACCCCCGCCCCCCTTTTTCCCTTCCCAGAGCGCGTGAACAAACAGAAGAGTAGTAGTAGTAGTAGATTTTTACACCACAAGGATAAAAAAAAAAAAACAGTTGGCTGCAATGATTACATTTATGGCAGATCGGCAATGGGACACCATTACATAATATGTTTATCATGCAATGCAGAAATGGCGTGGAGGGGAGGGTGAATTATATATCTGGCAATGCTAACAATATTGCTGAATGCGTTGTTGATACTTACATTAATAAACCAGTGACCGACTAGATATGGGGCTCAGTGTGAAGGGTCGTTGTTTGTTTGTCTTCATGCCCCGTCAACACAAGCTGATCACTGTTAAACAAGCAGAACCCTTGGAAGCACCTGATGAGTTGTTTTCAACCCATTAGGTAGACAATATATTCTTTCGCTCTTGAATCTTTATTTCTTTAAAGAACTCACAACAATGTTCAGAGTAAGTCTGTTACTTGCCTACATGAGTGAATACAAGTCATCAACAACAGCCAAGTCTTTGACTTCTTCAATGATGATCAACTCGAATCGATAAATCTCGATGACAACAACTCTTTATGCTAGGACAAATTACGTCCGGCTGTATATTATAAATAGAGAAGGCCGTGGACAAATCTACATCATAAGTGTTTCTTGAGGATCACCAGCTCACTAATTTATATGAGAATCGGTTTGAGTTTGAGAATCGTCTTCATTGCTTACTTGCTTGGTCGATCCTCTTCTACCCTGATTTATAGATGTCTACCATAGAGATCGCCAGACGTTTCTGTCAACACTTTTCATTTTTTGCTTCATTTCTTCTAGTCCTCTGTGAGTCGGAGACTGCCGAATGTTTCCTTACCAACGACACTTGGGTCTGGTTCCCTGGTTCTTGGCCTCATCTGCCAGCCATGGCGTCCAGTTCTCTCCCATTCGCCAGACATGTTCAAACCATCGACACTGTGGACTTCATACCAGGCTTAACCCCATTTAAATATCAGGCACAGCACCCTGGCTAACATGTTTCTATCATTTCCCGAACCATAACAGACTGGGTGGGGTAGCCACGATCTTTCAGACACTGTCAGCTCTGAGAGATTGAGAGCCATGAGCCATGGCAGTGCTGTCTTAACACGGGCATACGATGACCAACTAACTGCTCAGGTGCTGCACTAGCACAGGATCTTTTCTTATTCTAATCATCATAATGTAACATTAATTGGTTGCGAGTGGTTGCGCAGTGGAGTGTTTTGCCTGTGAGCCTGTAATGTTGTTAAGACATCATTATACAACATGTACAACTGTTCTTTGAAGGACAGGCTGCGACTAAACATCACTTTGAGGTGCGTCATCAGATTTGATCTCGTCAAAATGTTCTAGCTGCTTTCCACTCCTGGTAAGTCTTCCTTCACTCTATGCGTGTCTGCACCTCTTGGTAGTAAACTGATATATGACAAGCTAGATGTTGTGAGGGCCCTTTGGGAGTGAGTGAACAGTGAGTAGGCACAAATATATCATTACGGTCTGAGGAGAATGGCGCTGCAGGGATTTACCAGAGGATTCGGCATGAGGGAAAGGCGAGCTGGATATACAGTCAGACAGTTACTGGTACCATCAGAATTTTAACTATTCGCTTGCTGCTGACGATGGGGATGGATCGCTTATGGGAGTGTCCCGAATGTTATGATTTCAATCCTTAATTCAACATTCAAATCCAGTTTTCGTTTAGGACAGTTTAAATCCGTTCCCAGACATTTTCTAAAATATTATTAATATTTTTTTTTTGAGTATATCGTCTCAGACTTCCACTGGCTTTAGAATCAGCTGTACACACATGCAGTGATTGTAACTGACACAGCATGTTGAGAAA